GATTTATTATATCGACTTTGACTCTCACGTTAACTGTGGTACAGGAGGTGGCACACCCCCTAGTGATAGGGGTGGCATAAAAGAGTGGATAAAAAAACATTTAAAAGCATTAGGTTCAGCACTGGGAAAGCTTTCTGGGAAAGCTGCGTCTGCACTTCCCGGTATAATAGGGAGTATAGTTTCCTGGCTCTTGAATTTATTAGCTAAGACCACCACTTGGCTTAGTCAAAACTTGTGGGCACTGATCGTAGCAATTGCAGGGCTGTTGTACGTATCATGAGAAAATCAGCTGCGACTCAACCCACTACAAGCGCTGTTTTTTCATTGATATGTTGTTGATTTTTAGCCGCAATATGTGGTGGCACTTGTGGTTGTGCGTTAGTAGATGTGTTAGTAGATATCTGTGGCTTGACTTTTCCCGTTTCGCCTGTGTTTGTTTGCGTTATTAATTCGGTGTTAATTTCTGAATTTATACCTGTTTTTTGTTGATCGGTAGCAATAACAATTTTATTATTATAGCCTATCACTTGACCGATCTTAAGTTCCATATTACTCGGAGACATGTATAGTCCCGGCGCATAAACGGAGCCTACTTTGGATTAAGCGTACTGTAATATATCTTGATAACTTTTTATATAAGATGGTATGTCAACTGGTGAATTAATAGCATCCTCAACATTTGCGATAAACTGTTTTTGTGCATCGAGTGCCGTCCCAGAACCAATAATGGACGTTCGTGTTTGCGATTATGCACCGAGAATTGTCCATACATAAGTTCTTATTGATTCATTAACCCTTACAACTCCTGGGTTAGTAACATTATTTTCTGTTTTATCATTAAGACATTCATTCCAAGCGTTTGCAGTATCGTTCAGTTGTACAAATTTTGTAACAATATAACCCAAACCACCCTTAAAACTCATGAGATCTCCTCTCCAATCGTTACTCGAAAATTCCCAGCCATGATTAAGATTATGTAATCTTACAAAAAGATTGTTTTTCTGTAACAACTTAAATGGATTAGTTTTTTTAACTAAATCATCGCTTTCTTTATTAACAGTTTTTTGTCCACTGTACGGAACACCTAGACCATGGTTAATTCCTTTAATACACCAATCTTTACTTGTAGCAATATTAAATTCCTGACAAATACATTCATACGCGAACCTATTGTACGGATTATTTGAGGAATTTCATGCTCGATTCTGCGGTAATGGGGCACTAATTTCTTTAAGTATACATCTTATCTGATAGTACACGTGAAATGATAAAACAGACTTACTTAGTTCAAATCCAGGGGCATAAAGAGATACACCACATCCTGTTGTGGCACACTATATGGCAAAGTTTAACTGATTCTGCCAAAATTGCATTGGATTACAAGTGAAACCAGTCGTGCACCATTTTATCACTAGTTGCCGTGAACCTGTATTTTTCAACGATTTCAGGGAATTCAACAAAAAAATTAGCACCAGAGGCACTTACTTAAATCGACTGATTAGTAATATAAGTTGATTTCATATTTATGTTATGATATAGTATCAATGTATATTTAATATGTATGTCACACTCCTGGAAATAACAAATGGTCAGTCTATTGAACTGCTTCAAACTATCGATAATTTGGATGGACAACTTGAAGTCACTCTATGCGATGTAATGTATTACCCGCGGTGGACCAATGAAAATGCTGCGAGAAGAAATAATGAGATATTAATAAATACTACAGAACACATTATACCTGATGGGTATTACAGCGTATGCTCACTCAATGATGAATTTTTTAAGCCTTTGGGAGCTAGTCCAGAAAGAAAAGAGTATAATTCTTGCCCGGAACATAGCAGATACACTTGGACTTGCACGCGGATTAGGAGTAGAAGTATTAGCCCCCAACCTAACAGGGCATGTAGTAAAATTGCCCGATTAAGTTCCCTATAAAGAGCTGTTCATCCATCTTGATCAGATCAGTACAACGGATAATATTCAACTCGAAAGTCCTTCAACTCTACTCAGATCTATTCAAGTCAAAGATGAAAAATACAATAGTGGTAGAACGGAATCTTTCTCATCATTACAATATAAAAAATTAAAGCGTGGTATTATTTCAGACCTCAAAATTTCTGTATTAGATGTAAAACATCAACCTGTACATATAGGATACTTGAGTGTAACACTCCATATTATAAATAATGGTAGATTCATCAGGCCCTGATACGCATAACCTTAGACAATGTAATACAATTGCGCTTTCCGATCTCGGAGACACAGAAGGATTTGGTAAACCTGGTACCGATTGTAAGTTATACGCTTTACACTTACAAGATAATGTATACAAGCGGAAAGAAGTTACATTCACAGGTAATCTAGGAGATTTAAGTGATGTCAACGTTAGTAGACTCAATAAAAACACTTCATATAATCTTACTCGCAACGATGATAATAAATGGACTATGGTTGAAGCAAACATCGAGTGGCTACTGAATATTGTCATTACCCCACCGTATGTGGTGATGGGTAAGGCACATAATTTAACTAAGATAATAATTAGTGGGATCGTACTCGGGGCTTATATCCCATCAAAACGAAAAATTGTGTTAGTCACCCCCCTGCCAATAAACCCAGGTCATATAGTAAAAAATGTTATTTTAAATTTGGTTACTGAATTCAACCATATTAAACAGAACTTGAGTGCAATACCTAATCTTTCTACGCTTATTATTGAAGTCTTGTTCGGAGATGCACTGGAAGATGCCTTCGAAATATTACCAGGTCTATCGATTAAATGGCTAAAGAAACACCAGCGTCAACGTTCCAGTATTATTCATATTGGAGCATCACCCGTTGCAACCCTTGAGGGGGTTCAAATTATTAAAAGTGACAGCATTTCTCTTACTAAGATATTCATGCCGTATAATATACATTTGATAAGGTTGATGTATACTCTCAAAATATTTAAGCAAGACCAATTAAAGACTATTATATGATATAATAATATACACTGTGGGTTTATATCCAGCGCTCAATGAGGCATCTGAAAAGATGGAAACTGTTGATGGATTTCAATTACATCAAATAAGCGACATAAAACATTGAATAGAGAAGGAGAGGGAGTTTAGACTTGGATTGTATAAAAAGTATCGCAGAACCGTGAATGCTCTTGACGGAGTTGATACCGCGCTTGTAACAGCTGGCATGGGACTCGGTGTAGCCGTTGTTGGTTTATTATCAACTATAATCATCGCGCCTATCGTTCTTGGCATGGAAATAGCCGCCGGAGTCTCAGGACTGGCAGGAATAGCGATAAAATTAATTTCTCTTATGTTGCAAAAGAAAGCATTAAAACATGATAATATTCCGATACACGCCGAAGCAAAGTTAAACAGCATTGAGGATCATATTTCAACAGAAATGGCCGATTGTAAGATATCCGAGGAGGAATTTCGTTTAGTGTTGTCGGAACTCACCAAATTCAACGTAATGAAGCAGGAGATTCGATCAAATTCTCGTAAGACCAGTGGTATTAGCGAAGACGAGAAAAAAAAGTTCAATGAACAGGGGAGACAACAAGCGCGTCAATTATTCCGTGCCAAAACCAAAGAACTGGTTGGAGGTTAAAGATAGATTGCTTACTATCATTAGATCACACCACATTAAAATCATTCATTCATATAAACGAATGCTTACGTAAGTAAATACTAATGGAGAATTACAAACCAACAGAGGAAGAACTTGAAAAAGCTATCGAAGCATTTATGCTCAGGGACAAAATTATCAAATTGAGAGAATTACCACAAGGTATATATTATATCAGTAATGTCAAACCAATCAAATACGGTCATCAATTGTTTCTTTCCAATTACCAAGAAGAGTATATAGTCTGGTCTCCTGGTAAAATGAACGAAGAATTTAGTAAAAATGTTGAATATCACTTGTTAAAAATAATTGTATACGTATGAATAAAAATAATAAAGAATATTTGCATTACAAATTAGTTTAATCGCATGACGTCCCTCATTGTTCTTTGCGTAGCTCTCTTATCTATAAAGACATACAAAATGTATAACAGTGATATAGGACGGGGTGAAACTTTTATCTTTCCTTTCATCTTCATGTTACAATAAACTCACACCATGCTGTCTGTTTTGTTCTTGTTTGAGGGGGGCACGGGTGGCCCAGTCGTCTTAGGCGCCGCGATTCGCTGTGCAGAGTCGCGTCCCTTGGGCACGCCAGAAACCTATGATTGTTGGTTCGAATTCACGTTCGCCCTAATTATGTTTCTAGGTTTGTCAGCACCATACCCGTGCTCGTGGGTTTCACTGAAGTGGCAAACGTCTCAGACCTGCATCTCTTCGGGCTTTCCTCCCACATGTAGCTGACGAGCTGTGATATAACTGGAATACTGTTAAAAGCAGCGTTAAACCCAACTCACTCACTCACTCTTGTTTGAATTTTGTACCAAATACTTCCCACGAAGCTGGCCACTGTTCTTTGCCACGATTGTCCCTGTGAGGTATGCATGTGTTAATGCACTTTCCCATCTTTTTTGATCAGCTTTTGACAAGTCGTTCACAAAGGAGGCATTTTACTTATATTAGGATTAACATGTATGTAATAAAAGGCTATATAATTATTTTGTCAAATATGCTTATCTCGTGAAGGCTGAAACAATGTTTTCAATCATTGCTCCGCATGATACATAAACCAGTATATCACGAATGTGCTTTGTTGTCTAATATTGAGAACATATGTTTGTGGTGTGGAATTCGATGCTAATGACTATTTGAGTATTTATCACAGTCAATCCTTAAATATGTCACGATTACACCCTCTGTAAACACAAATCATACTTGCAGAAATCCCGATGAAGAGTGAAGGGTTCATGTATGTTGAATAAATCTTTGATAAACATTTAGCATTCTATCATTGGTACACTGTCTGCTATAAGGACATTGAATAGGAATGAACACAATTGTGTTGATACTATTTTCTTTTCATTTCAGATTGTTTAACAGGCATACCCATTACAATGGCTTACAAAGGTACTTCCCTATGCAGACATGTGTTCAAGTTGTACAGGAAAACTGTGTGGAAACTGTATGAGCTGCTTGCTATGGTGAAACCATGTAGGGGGCTGTGTCATCATGTGTCACCAACATTATATTACTTGCGTACAACATACAAACAAACACTAGCTTTTTTATGACAACAGTGATAGGTGCTACTCGTTGGGAGGGCAAGCCATGTTTACCCTTTAAGCGAAAACCTGGTGTCACGGCAGATGTTCTGTTTTTTACGTCATGCGGAATCTGTATTGGAAGACTTATTGATCTCAGGTGTTGATATTTTGATTTGAACTAGTTGATCGATCAAGGAGTCGGACCTGTTTGCTCATCATTGATTAATCGGGTAGTCGGGACTGAATAAAACAAGCAAGCCTTGCAATCATATCAATAGTATCTTACTGCTGCAATAATTGTGGCACTCGTGTAGTTTTGCTATCTGACACACCGATATTAAGTATTTTGTCATCTTTTGAAACGATGCAAATATATTCCCCATGAAACAGATCTAACTGACAGACATTGTGATCATATTTATGGCACATAATAATTACCCTGAAAATTAAAACTTAGACAGAAATAGTCAATCTCCAGCATTTGCATTTGACTCAAGATCAACTGACAAAATGATGTAATTCATAATCCGTTGAGTAGTGGGTGTAAGACTGTTTGCATTCTCTTTCACAGGGAAAAGTTCCAGCTTCTTAGACAGGGAAATTCGAATGGTACTTGTAGGAAAGACTGGAGTTGGTAAAAGTGAAACAGGGAATACAATAGCTGGAGCCGGAAAGTTTGCGAAGATATTCCCCTCATTGTCAAGAGCAATGTCTGTTACAAAGAAATGTAAACAGCATCCATTTAAACGCTTCGGTAATGACTTGCAGCTTGTTGATGTCCCAGGCTTTTGTGATACAGAAAGATCACACGATGACATTAAGGAAGAGATAATGAAATGTGTAGCCATATCATCTCCTGGAATACACGCAATTCTTTTCATCGTGAGTATAGGAAGGTTCACTGAAGAAGACAAAAATACACTGGAAACGTTCCTGCGCTGCTTTGGAGAAGGGTCAAAACAATTTGTAATTGTTGTATTTACTGGAAAAGATAACTTGGAAGCGGATAATGATACTTTTGACAACTACCTACGTGATTGCCCAGTGAAACTAAAGGCGTTTTTAATTGAAATAAGTCGTCGCTGTATTGCTGTCAACAACAGGGGGACGGATGCAGAGAAGGAGAAATTTACCAAAGACCTGATCGACATGATAAAAAGCATGGTTGGTGACAACGGCGGCCAGTGCTACACAAACGAGATGTATGAGAGATGTGAGGCTGAGCTTCGAGAAGCTGAGATGAAGGAAAAACTTGGAGAGAAGAGGGAAAAGCAGCTTGAGAAGAAACTCAAGCAAGAAGCTGCTGCCTATGAAGAACAGTTACAGAGCCAGCGCCTTAAAATGCAAGAATTGGAGAAACAACTTCAACAAAATGAAAGAAGATCAAAGGAAGATGAAGAAAATCAGTTGAAAGAACGACTGAAAGCCTTAGAGCTGAGGCAAAATGAAGAAGAAAAGAGGAAATGTCTGGAGGAAGAAAGGAAACGAGAGGAGGCAGAGGAGTACGTGAGGAAGGAATTTCAAAAAGAGAAAGATTTTGAGAGAAATATGGAGGAAGAACATGAGCGTAAAAGAGAAGAACTACGACGGGAAGAGGCTCGAAAGCAGATACGAGAGAAGGTTGAAGAAGGCAACACAAGTTACCTTGGAAATTTTGTTGGATGGGTTAGATCATTTATGCCTTTTTGAGGGTGGTCATAAAAATCTGCAATAGATAGAATATAGAATGAATGCTGTTTAGTTATTCATTCAAATAATTTTGATCACTATTTTGCTTTTTATGCCATAATTGACAGATAATCGAGGCTACTATTCTCTGGCATAGACGTTTTTAATGAAACAAACCTGATCCCGTTAGTCGCCTCTTAGGGGTGTGTTTGGCTGCATGTACTTGTCCGGACAGTTTAGCTGTGATACCCCACTCAGACACAGTATACTGACTCTCTGCCACCCAATCTTTGTTATAACCTGTTAATGCCAAGAACCAGGCAGGGTCTGGTATGATGCGGCCAGGGGATCAAACAACTGAATATCCGCTTTCCTGGCAACCACTAGACCATGGGGGACCATGTCACCCATGTTACAACTCACCTTCACTTTTGTATTGTTGAGAAACATCTGTAAACAGCGTAATGTCAATCCTTTGGCTATAATTAGGCTTGTATTCATTTCACTACAGATGTTGATCTTGTTTTATTACTTTATTTATTAAATAATACACCATGCTTTGTACCCGTGGTATGTATACATAGCACCTAATTAATATAATAAGTAACTGTTTCGCATGTCTTGGAACTATTCCGTGGCAATAGTTATTTGGCTACCCTTACATATTCACCATTTACTTCTTTGCCCTTTTAGCGTGGTCTTATATGTGGTAGATTGTTCACTTGTTGCAAGGTCTGCTGCGGAAGGTTTGAACACCCCTGTGATATAATTGATTTGCAGCCTGCTCAACGTTTGTTTGATAGGGTTTGGTGGCTACGCTCGCCACTCCATACGGACAATGGTTCATGCTCAAAGTAAGCATCAACGACCCTTGCATGATGAGCTTGTGAGTTAATATTGTTGATTGCACCAGAATACGGTCTCACGTGCACATCCAGAATGTCACCCCTGTTGCGCAAACATGTCATTGTGCTCAACTGTATGACATGAACATCTGTTCTTTCAGCTCTACTATTCGTATATGTTGATATCCTGAAATCTTACTCAGTGTCTACGCCACACTCGGGCACGACGATCTGTGAAATCTAGAAAATATCTAGATTCATCAGAGAAAAGTACCGGAGCCCAGTTTTGGTCGGTCCAACTGTCCTATCTTCAGCCCAGTCTAAACGTCACTGCTTGTGATGTCGGGTAAGTGGGATGCGAATGCATGCCCTCCGTGACAGAAGACCAGCCTCACTGAGACTATTGTGCACTGTCTGAGTAGAAACGTTAACGCCACTGGCGTTCCGCAGGTCATTTCTGAGTGTGGTGGCAGTCGCGAAGTCCCCTGTCATTTAGTATCTGCATCTGACATCATCCTTAGTCTTTGGTAGTCAAACGATGTCTTCGAGGGGGGCATAAGTGGGGTTGTTGCAATCTAAGTAGCAAATGTGGTTGTGCTCTTTGATACTGACGTGCAACAATTCTCTCACGATTCACCCAAACACAGGTTTTTCAGGCACCTCCGGTACATCTTGCCCATGACTGCATGCCTCTGTTCGTTCATGGCTTGAGTTCCTATAGGGCTAACACTATCAATGTGTACCAGGATGTTTCAATCTTTTGTTTTATGATTTGTTTTATGCATGTGTCATCAAAACTTTATCCATAGAAAACTCTGAGTTGTATATATCTAGAGCAGTTATATATACAAGTAAATGTGAAACAATGTGTTGATTTATGAATATCCATCTTTATGAATAAATTTAGAAAAAAGTCCTTTACATTTCTTTTTGCCTGAATGAAGTTTGTAGCAATAGCGATACGTGCTGTGAATCTCTGCTCACATTATTAGACAATCTCGTGTCAGAAATAGTGATAGTACGATCAAATTATTTGGCACCCCAGGTGAGGATCTGTTCAGTCAATTACCACAAAATTGGACAAAGTTTAGGTTGTAAACCCTCCCCAATTTCACTCTTCTCCTTCTTACATTCTCAACCAAGACCATCGCATCGTTCTTTTATCCAAATTATAATCCGGCAGTAAAATCATGAACAACATTTATCAGCAATTTTATGTTTCCAAGACAGAAACGGCCTCATAAACCTTTCATGGATATTGACCATTGTTTTGGACGTGTATTATTTTCCTCGCAAAAACTGGTAGGATGTTTTCCTTTTTCTCAGTATCATGACCTGATCACGGGTAAGAGGTTCCTTGAGTTGAGGAGCAGCTCATGTTTGGACTTATTTTAAAATGTCCAGTGTTCTAAAATCGGATACAGGAGTGGATGACTGGAGTCGAACCCCAAACATCCTGATCAGTAGTTAGGCACTCTAACCGTTTGACAACAGAAGAGGTTGAAGAGTAACGGTTCATAAGAAGTTCTGTGATCAGCCAGATATATTTTACGAGCGTTTCTTTAGACTGTCGTAATGCACTTTTTGTAAAATATTAAACACGCATTACTAAATGTTGTTTCGACGGTTTATAAGTTAGAGAAAACACTTCTCCTCGGTTTTAGTTGAAAGTTTCACAATGAAGTTTGATTTCTTGTCTTCAATTTTAGAACATTGAACGTTTGCAACACTAAGTCCAAACTTCATCTTACAAGGACAACCTCAAAGCAGGGTGAAGTAAAAAGCCAGTTGAAACACACCATGTCATCCTCTATATATCCAAGGCTCTTTTCAGTAAACCTGCACAAAGCCCTGGATCCATTCTTGCGGTCACCTTGAATTTTATTAACATTTTACCCACCAATCAAACGTCGAGATGGGGAAAAAGGAAATGGATAAGGGAGGACTTGCCACCGCCAGGATTCATAGACATGGAGTTATCCTTTCAATCAAAAGAGTTTGGTGGGCTTTCTTTTGCATTTTGCATTTTTTCAATGTTGACTGTCTCGCAAACCCTATCATTATCAATGGGACTGTCTCAAACTCAGTATTGAGGCTGGTTTGTAGCTTCATTCTGATTGGTACAAATGCAAAGAAAGGGCAGCTAATTTGAAATCGGAAAACCATGAACATGGGTCCTGGGGTTAATGTGAAATGTGAGCCCTTGAGATAAAGAGTACGACGCCCTGTCTTAATAGGAAAAAGTAAACTTCATCCCAGGTCTTACTGCCTATAGAAATACCAGTTTGGTTCAGTGGCAAGTACCAACTGAGAGGTTCATAAGGATTTTGTTCAAAAATGGAAACTTAATCTAAAAGACTTTCTATAGAATATCCCTGGTACAGGGGGACTTTTTGTAGATATTCTGTAGAAAGTCCTTGCCGAAAGGGTATTTAACGAAAAGAAGCCCCAGGAAAACAATAGGATGACGTCGCAAGAGGTGTATATTTCCAATGTAGTCACCCTTTGATCCACCTCAAAACCCAGTCCCACATATACCCCTTGATCCACCCCAACACCCAGTATCACATATACCTCTTGATCCACCCCGACACCAAGGCCTATATGTCTCTTGATCCTACCCGAAACCAAGGCCTATATGTCCCTTGATCCACCCCGACACCGAGGCCTATATGTCCCTTGATCCACCCTAACACCGAGGCCTATATGTCCCTTGATCCACCCCGACACCGAGGCCTATATGTCCCTTGATCCACCCCGACACCGAGGCCTATATGTCCCTTAATCCACCCTGACACCGAGGCCTATATGTCCCTTAATCCACCCTGACACCGAGGCCTATATGTCCCTTGATCCACCCTGACACCGAGGCCTATATGTCCCTTGATCCACCCCGACACGGAGGCCTATATGTCCCTTGATCCACCCCGACACCGAGGCATATATGTCCCTTGATCCAGCCTGACAGCGAGGCCTATATGTCCCTTGATCCACCCCGACACGGAGGCCTATATGTCCCTTGATCCACCCCGACACCAAGGCCTATATGTCCCTTGATCCACCCTGACACCGAGGCCTATATGTCCCTTGATCAACCCCGACAGGGAGGCCTATATGTCCCTTGATCCACCCCGACACCGAGGCCTATATGTCCCTTGATCCACCCCGACACCGAGGCCTATATGTCCCTTGATCCACCCCGACACCGAGGCCTATATGTCCCTTGATCCACCCTGACACCGAGGCATATATGTCCCTTGATCCACCCTGACACGGAGGCCTATATGTCCCTTGATCCACCCCGACACCGAGGCCTATATGTCCCTTGATCCACCCCGACACCGAGGCCTATATGTCCCTTGATCCACCCCGACACGGAGGCCTATATGTCCCTTGATCCACCCTGACACTGAGGCCTATATGTCCCTTGATCAACCCCGACACCGAGGCCTATATGTCCCTTGATCCACCCTGACACCGAGGCCTATATGTCCCTTGATCCACCCTGACACCGAGGCATATATGTCCCTTGATCCACCCCGACACCAAGGCCTATATGTCCCTTGATCCACCCCGACACCGAGGCATATATGTCCCTTGATCCACCCCGACACGGAGGCCTATATGTCCCTTGATCCACCCCGACACCAAGGCCTATATGTCCCTTGATCCACACCGACACCGAGGCCTATATGTCCCTTGATCCACCCTGACACCAAGGCCTATATGTCCCTTGATCCACCCTGACACCGAGGCCTATATGTCCCTTGATCCACCCCGGCACCGAGGCCTATATGTCCCTTGATCCACCCCGACACCGAGGCATATATGTCCCTTGATCCACCCCGGCACCGAGGCCTAATTCCCTTGATCCACACCTACACCGAGGCCTATATGTCCCTTGATCCACCCCGGCACTGAGGCCTATATGTCCCTTAATCCACCCTAACAACGAGGCCTATATGTCCCTTGATCCACCCCGACACCGAGGCATATATGTCCCTTGATCCACCCCGACACCAAGGCCTATATGTCCCTTGATCCACCCCGACACCGAGTCATATATGTCCCTTGATCCACCCCGGCACCCAGGCCTATATGTCCCTTGATTCACCCAGGTCTATATGGTCCATTTAGTCGGACAGATAACACGATAGAGTTTATTTCACCTTTTAGGTTCAAGATAAATAGGGAGAGAGATGGAGAAGACGACGCGCATATAGAACCTAGAACCAGTTAAAACAATTGGCTTTTTCTGCAGCTGACTTTGATGTCATATTTGTTGCTTCACATTAGACCGTGTGACGTAATAATAGTGACGCGCGAAGTAGAAGTGAACCTTGCAAGGCTTGCTTCATTCTGTCTGGGGCCGCCTACTTCATGTTGGCTTAAGATGTAGCTACACTCTTTCAATGTCAGCGTAATAATTGTCTTGCCAACCAATAAACATGTATTGTCTCTGTATGCAGAGACAAGCATTAAAATGTCCAAGGATAATGGTGTGACACGTCAAGGATAATGGTGTGACACGTCATTGTTCATGAGTGAGTGAGTGAGTGAGTGAGTGAGTGAGTGAGTGAGTGAGTGAGTGAGTGATATTATACGATGACCATTACGAGCATGGGGATGTTGCTGGCAGATCTAGAAATATAATCAGACGATTATGGGATTCGCCGTCTAAGGCGCAATTCGCTGTGCCGGGTTTTGTCCCTTGGAAACGTCAGAAACCTATGATTGTGGGTTCGAATCCCGGTTCGCCCAGATTATTTTTCGTGGGTTTTACCAAAGAGGTGAACGTCTGAGACCTGCATCACCTCGGTCTTTCCTAAACATGAATCAGACACGCCGTAACATAATTGGACCACCGCTCAAAGCGGCGTTAAAGACAACTTACTTACACAAAGAAGTTAAAATCCTTGTCAGAAGATTTGTCCGCATTAGCAATCGCTTACAGAAGAATTAGTTAACATCTTTATGCTTTGTCTTTACACATAGTTTACAAAGATTTAAGAATGTTTTTATCGTACAATTCCTTGCAAATATCAACATACTTGAACAGACAATCACCGCGTGTAACTCGTATTCAAATACACATAGCAACATTTGACTCTGTGAGTAGTGTCCTGTGAGTGGCATCCTATAAACCTGGCGAACTGTATGGCCTAAGACCAAACTGAGACACACACAGGAATAAACTACAATTACACTACAAACTAAACTCCAGACACAACAGATCAATACACTCATCCTACATCAGGATGATTGAGGGGATGGCCATTATTTTAAAGTTTCCTTTAAATATTTACTTTTTCATATTTTGTCAGTGATTTTATCCTGTTTTCAGTGCGTGAGATGTTTGTATTGTGAAGTATTCTGGTTTTCATTAGAAACCAAATGAGAATAAAAAAAATACATGTTATTCGAGATTCAGGGAAGCAGGGGCGAGGCAACCTAAAAATGGAAAAAAATCATCCTGCATGTTTTGTGAATAAAATAAGAGACATTTCTTGCAGAATCAGACAACGGAGTCAGACCACAACTGAATATGTGAATTTCTGTACACCAAAACTGTGCCCAGTTTGTAACCTTGTAACGTGATCAACGTGCATGGTCCTTTGTGATTGTTGTACGAGGGTAGAGTATATAACCTTGTAACGTGATCAACGTGCATGGTCCTTTGTGATTGTTGTACGAGGGTAGAGTATATAACCTTGTAACGTGATCAACGTGCATGGTCCTTTGTGATTGTTGTACGAGGGTAGAGTATATAACCTTGTAACGTGATCAACGTGCATGGTCCTTTGTGATTGTTGTACGAGGGTAGAGTATATAACCTTGTAACGTGATCAACGTGCATGGTCCTTTGTGATTGTTGTACGAGGGTAGAGTATATAACCTTGTAACGTGATCAACGTGCATGGTCCTTTGTGATTGTTGTACGAGGGTAGAGTATATAACCTTGTAACGTGATCAACGTGCATGGTCCTTTGTGATTGTTGTACGAGGGTAGAGTATATAACCTTGTAACGTGATCAACGTGCATGGTCCTTTGTGATTGTTGTACGAGGGTAGAGTATATAACCTTGTAACGTGATCAACGTGCATGGTCCTTTGTGATTGTTGTACGAGGGTAGAGTATATAACCTTGTAACGTGATCAACGTGCATGGTCCTTTGTGATTGTTATACGAGGGTAGAGTATATAACCTTGTAACGTGATCAATGTGCATGGTCCTTTGTGATTGTTGTACGAGGGTAGAGTATATAACCTTGTAACGTGATCAACGTGTATGGTCCTTTGTGATTGTTGTACGAGGGTAGAGTATATAACCTTGTAACGTGATCAATGTGCATGGTCCTTTGTGATTGTTGTACGAGGGTAGAGTATATAACCTTGTAACGTGATCAACGTGCATGGTCCTTTGTGATTGTTGTACGAGGGTAGAGTATATAACCTTGTAACGTGATCAATGTGCATGGTCCTTTGTGATTGTTGTACGAGGGTAGAGTATATAACCTTGTAACGTGATCAATGTGCATGGTCCTTTGTGATTGTTGTACGGGGGTAGTCAGTCATAGATTATATGTAACAATGAATGTTAAATTTACTTTTTTAGTATGTGTGGATCTCTCTCATACACAGATGCCTCAATATAAAAGAAACACAAAACGGCATGTCCAGTCTGTTTCAATGTCCCTACTCGCTGAATTGGCCGTTTCGCTTGGAGGTTAAGAAATGACACTCGGTACTTTTGTTTGATGAACTAGTACACCCCACGCCCACACAATACCGAACATTGCGAAATGAATACGCCGAGCATAGCGACAAATCAAATTGTCATGAAGATCAATTCACTGTAAACGACAATAATGGAAAAAAACGCCTCTCCACTGTGACGACACAGCTGCTGCTGTTTTCAATATGCATACGCGCTGGGTACGGGATCAGGGCAGTTGTTTGTTGCTTTTCAGACAACAATGAAATCACATATGACTGCTTTTTGTGTGTAAATATGTACTTTATTAGTTTCTTTTTCAATAGACCTCCTTTAAGTTCATTCTTTGAGAAATACAGAATAGTAGTCTACCTTGTGCACGTGCAATGTAGTATAACAAATAAACTTTACAAAGAGCTATGCATCTATGTTATTATGTGATAATATACGTTATGTTATAAATGTACATATATATGTATATATATATAATGTATATACGGAGAGAGAGAGAGAGAGAGATAGAGAGAGAGAGAGAGAGAGAGAGAGAGAGAGAGAGAGAGAGAGAGAGAGAGAGAGAGAGAGAGAGAGTGTGTGTGTGTATAAAAACACACTAAAGTACATGTATATTGTTTCATATTTTATTCTTCATTTCAATACCGACATGTTAGTTGATGGCATGAAGTCCGACATATATTTCTACAAAATGTGCCCTGATGCACGTTTTCTTGAACAGTCTTGAAAGCAAGGGCAAGCAGATCATACAACCACGATCCATATAACCTCCCTATCGTAAACACAGTCCAATGAGTTTCTATATGGGACACGTGACGATCCGGGTTAGAACCGATGTTTGTCGTAAGAGCGACTAACGGGATCGAGTTTTCAGGCTCGCTGACTTGGTTGATGCACGTCATCGTATCCTAATTCCGTAGATCGATGCTCATGATGTCAGTCACCGGATTGTCTGGTCCAGGCTCTATTATTTACAGACTGGCGTCATACAGTTGGATTATTGCTGAGCGCGGCGTTAAGTTACAAACAAACAAACACATTTTATATGGATAATCGGAAACTGTGCACAAACAGATATCATTGAGTTCAGGAAATAACAGTAATAGTCCAGCTTATACTTGCTGCTCGTTCAGTCTTTGACAAAACAACACATTACGTACTTTAGCCATTCGTGTGTCAAAAGCATTGTCTGAGATTCGAGATGCACTCAGACCTTTGTTAGCCAATATGGGAGCCCTACATCCCAATACCACAACGAATGATGCTGGACCCCGCGTTGGTAATCGGTCTTCTTGAATAGAAGAACTTTTCTTATTGTGGATTATCGTGAATAATACATGATCAGTATTGATGGCGCTTTACAAATTTGATTGCGGACAGACAATGCCGACCCCGTGTTGACCTGATTCCGTTTACCTTATCAATGAAAGAGATTATCAGTGGCCAGGTACATACTGTTCGCATTAGAAGCCATGTGGACGCCAGCACTGACTGCGTGTCTCGTCCTGCTCTGCCCTGTGTATATGGTGAGTGAGTTACCTATATCTTGTGTACACGACAAAGCTGCTGATGCTGGATGTGTGACCACAGCAAGTAGATGACATCATATCGCGTAGTGCCCTATACTAATCCAACGAACTGGACAATGCCACTCGTTATCTTGACCCCTCAACCACAGTGGGTCACAAGAACATGTGCTCGAAAAACAAGGCTTCCTTTTCAGACACCATAGATATTCTAAGGGACCGCCCATGTAATGGTTTGGGGGATGATGATCTAGAGGGGTGTTGTTTGAAACAGAATGCAGTTTATCTCAGTGATCAGGAAGAGCCAATCTATTTTTCACCCACAGGAAATTATTTTTTTATATTGTTCACTGAAGATCTTTATTTGTTTGTTTAAACTTTTTTCGGGCATTTTCGGATGGAGAAATACCATTTTCGCTCTACCCAGGATGATGTGAATACCGTGACGTATCTGATCAATTTATCAAAAACTGTCTTCCACGGGCGATATCACTACAAAGGAATTACATCGCAATACTTTGCAGACCATTGTGACGTCATCGGCTATGTAATTACCATGACGTCACACCAAAAAGACATCGCCACTCTCTGCGACTGTAATTGGTTAGCTGTACTGTTTACACACAAGACACTTTCTACAACTGATTCAAAAATGAAAAAAAAACTTGATAAAGGATTGGAGATGATAAATAGGATTTTACCCTCGTGTCTTTTTAACTCAACCATATCAAAACTCGTCGATAAATGTTTTAAACCCCTCGGCAAGCTTGGGAGATTCAAACCTTTGTCGAATCGTGTTGATATATTTGATCTCAAAAGACACTCGGGTGAGTTTCACTGTATATGTACTTTGATACTTATATATAATTCCAGCAACGTCAGTACTTTTGATGGTATCATTAACTGCGTCGAAGTAAGTCTTGAGTGCGATGACAGCCTACCACTAAATACCATATGGTCTGTGTTAGTAGATACCTTCACATACAGTAAACTACGTTTATAACGAACACGCTTATAACGAACGGAAGGATAAAACGAACTGTTTTTGTCCCGGCCATGCTCTCGTCGAACTGATTAAAGGCATATATTATGTATATGCTGTAAATTTGCTTATAACGAACTACGGTTAAAACGAACTAAAATTAATGGTCCCTTTGAGTTCGTTATAACCGTAGTTTACTGTATATATATGCTTTTTTCAGATTGACATTGCAGATTCAGATACGATATTTGCACGAGGTAAGTGAACCCTTGTCTAAATTACTTCAATAAGCTATTCTATCTCAACGACTTACTCGGGGCACGGGTGGCCCAGTCGTCTAAGGCGCCTCGATTCGCTGAGCAGAGTTGTGTCCCATGGGCACGCCAGAAACCTATGATTGTGGGTTCGAATCCCGGTTCGCCCCGGTTATGTTTCTAGGTTTGTCAGCACCATACCCGTGCTCTTGGGTTTCACCGAAGTGGTAAACGTCTGAGACCTGCATCACTTGGGGCTTTCCTCCCACATTTAGCTGACACACTGTGATATAACTGGAATACTGTTAAAAGCGGCGTTAAACACAACTCACTCACTGACTCAACACCTTACTTTTGCAAAGCATGAGGAGGATCTTGGTAACTGTAACCCCATATCCACGAGGGTCAATTTAAATATCAGGCAGGAAGCTTCTAAGGGCTCGACGCCCGTGTGAGTAACATTGACGCACAACACAAAATATATGCTACGCTGTACCATGCAATGAAGCTAAACTGCCGGGCAAGAGAAGGTATACATCCGTGTTCGATGGTAGATAAAATTAAACAAACAAGAAATGGTTATTCGATGGTGATGTATGTGATACGTGTGTCACGGTTGTTATGGATCGTAAGTTTACAGTGTTTCGGAAACTGTTTTCAGCCTAGGAACCTTCTGATAACGTTTGTCATTTAACATCTAATGTGTATACTTCACAATATAGAACCGAATTTCGCAATTTAAAAAAAACCCCATTGAGATGGAATACATACGGAAATCATATTGATTTTCATTTTACCTTTTAATACCAAAAAGTACAAAGGTTCTGTAACTCTTGTGGGAGGCAGTTGACAATGTTGTTATCATTTTCATGTTGATATGTTGAGGACAAATGTATACAAAAGTAAAACGCTGCGTTCAGTTTGGTAAATATTGTATATCTTGTCTCCAAGTGTTAAATCACCATTTCCGACTCACACGTGCCCACGTGAAGTGTTATATCAACCACCAACTGTGGGATATCAAGTAGATTCCTGATTATTGGGTAGTGTTTATATACTGATACAATATGTAACTGATGCATCTTTAGTGTGATGCAGTTGTAGGTTAGGTACATGTGTACTTCTGTAGGTAGGGATAGTTCCACAGTTATATAACGGCGTGTCAGTTTAATGTGGAGGGAACTGCGTACACATTTACAACTTGACGAATATCTTGAGAATGGGCGTGATGTTAACAAAACAAGGTTAATTAGAATGGGAACAGGGATTCGAACCCACTGCACAGGACGAAAGCGAAGTTTTAGACCACTGTGCTGCCCGTGTCCACGTGTTCCACAGAGGCCGGCTTCATCAAGTCAGTGGAGGATCCAGGGCTACGGGTCGGCATTACTCACCTTCTTTATAAATACATACTGACAGCGATGTCAAAAAATAAAACAAGTTGACCATTGTAACGAAATACTTCCCCCATCCCGGGACATATACACGTGAACCGAAGGAAGGTAAAAATTGAGAATAGGAGAAAAAGACCCCACCCCATCCCCACTCCAACCCCCACCCCCATTCCCATTCCCACTTCCACTCCCACTCCCACCCCCATTCCCACTCAAACTCCTACTCCCCACCCACCTCAACTCTTGCAAATGTAGAACTTCCACTGTGTACGATGTATGAACGAACCATATCTGTCTGTCTATCATAGCTGATTTATCACTCTCACTCACTCACTCACTCACTCAACCCAAAACCGACGCACTCACTCCCAGCCCAACCACCAACCCAAAACCACTCACTCACTCACTCACCCACCCACTGACTAACCCACCTACTCACTCACTCACTCACTCACTCACCAGCCGATTCCACCCCTCTGCTGCTGACCAAAGCTGACCCCAGGGTCCAGGTGTTCCGGAACGGACAATGGGGGTTCATCTGTGGCCATGGATGGAACTCTAGAGATGCCAAGGTCATCTGTCGGATGCAAGGATACTGGTGAGCTCGCTACATATTATAATACGAAAGAGCATATTAAAAAATGAGCTTCTCTAAGATTACATGATTTATGTTTGTCCTTCAAGTTCCGAAGCAATGCAACAGAATATGCGAGTGATGGAATATGGTCTTAAGCCGTTTTGCAATAGTCCAGCTATACCTCGGCTGGAGACACCACAAGTGTGCTTCATACATTGTACCATGTTGGGAATCGAACCTGGGTTTTCGGTGTGGAGAATACACGAAGGGGAACTGATCATGTTACTCTACCATTAGGCACGGCACTGGCACAGCCCGGATCATCCCGCTGATTGGTGGGGAGACGTTCTGGCTCGACGACGTGGACTGTGTCGGCAACGAGACGGACATCACTGACTGTCAATTCCAGGGCTGGGGGATACCGTCATGTCCTGCCGGGGGAGTGGCGGGCGTCAACTGTGAGGTGTCGGGTGAGTTTCCACGGGTGGGGGTTAACGTCACATCTTGCCGCGGGAGTCAACTGTGGGGTGTCAACTGAGTAACGAAGGCTGGGGGATAGCGTCATGTACTGCAGTCATACGCATGTCCCTGTGATGTGTTCATTGTTTCAGCACAGCCCAATGTCCGGCTGACGGACGGGTTCGGACCGTGGGAGGGTCGTGTCGAGATCTATGAAAACAACATGTGGCAGCCTGTCTGTACAGCAGGGTGGGACGACAAGGACGCTCAGGTCATCTGTCGAGAGCTCGGCATCAGGTATAACAAACCATCCTCCATTACCCAGGGTAGTATGTCTCCATTCTATTATGACTCATACCCTGTACCCGATCGCCACCATTCCTTCGTATCGGACGTCGGCATCTCCATGTCCCATATCACTAACGTAGCACATCATTTCTCTCGCCCGTGTAAGTAATGCGATTGGACGGCTATTTTTAGCACAGTGGCGTGTAGTTTATTGATATATACTCTTCCAAGAAAGTAGGAGATCCTGAAATATACATGTGGATACCATGTATAAGAACAAAGATCAATGTTGACGAGAAACTTCCCATGCAGGAACGTTCATGTCTGTAAGACATAGCACCAAAACACATCCGTTAGTTTGCACGTGCCGCACGCAGTAACGAAGGGTGTCATTCCTGATTTTGGCACTTTCAAGAAAGGTCGATTAATCTCTGTGGACCGTTATTTCTGTCAATGTAATTGATCCTGCTTATCATTCAGTTGTGATTTACTTGATTTCAGTCATTGTTTGCGATGCGGTTGTAATGTGTTCCCAATTCGTTCATCATTATCATACAACTGTTAGTAGGTGAGGTTAAATGGAGTTTAACGTCGCGTCCAAGATTATTGCACTTATATAGCGACGTGCATGCACGTGTGTATGTGTGTGGCTGCTTGTACTAGACCGGACTGATGCCGATTTATAGTGCTAGCTCACTGAGATACCATGCCGCAGTTTAACATGAATACCCCACTCAGACACAGTATACTGACTCCGAGCCGACCAGTCCTTGTTTTAGTCCCTTACTGCCATTTTTAACGTCTTTTGGTATGACGCGGCTGGCGATCGAACTCCGGACCTTCCGCCCTCAGGGCGGACTCTCTACCACAAGACCACGGAGGCGGTCAAAAACTAATATCAAAGTAATAACCATGTTGCAAATTATAAGTCGTTTCTGAGTATCCCCAACCTTTTTATATATATGTACTTATAAAGAGATTATAATACAGGCATGTGTGTCACACTGATTTTACGAAACGAGTGTCAGAACTTTTGTGTTCCCGAGCGAGAACGAGGGTAATACATGAATTCTTCCACAAGTTTCGTAAAAGCAATATGACACGCAGGTTAGTGTAATAATTTCTTTATTACCCATTATTCCTGTTGAGGTCCCATTTACAAAAAATGCACTGATCACCAACGCTGTCCCAGAAAACCACAACTTGTCGAATGACGTCAACAATTTCCCGCTATGACGTCGTTTCTAGTGTGACGTCATACCGTCCTTTCGTCATAGTGAGATTAGAATGACATCAACAATGCCGCCCGGATGACGGATACAATGCACTGTGGGTAATACATAGAGGATATGGTAAAAAATAGAACATTATATCAGTGTTCATGTCATAGCATGTTTACGACACGAGTGTCTGAATTCCGGTATTCCATCGAGTGTCGTAAACATAGTATGACATGAACACTGATATAATGTTCTATTTTTTACCAAGGAAGATGTCTACATACAGAGACGAATTTTAGTGTTAACCTATAAGGACAGTAAGTCGCAACAGCAGCGGAACAACAAACAATGACGTACGTTTTTCGTTTGGCATCATTCCGACCTCACGTCACGATAAGATTCGGATGACGTCAACAATGCCTTCAAGATGACGGAAAGAATACACTGTTGTCTCGTGACGTGATATGACCCTAGAGCCCATATGATTATTATGAACCCCGATATGTTTGCTCTCGTAGGTAATGAAGATATTTCCGCAGGCTTCTGGTCGGGCCTCAAATACAAATACTTCAAATGTAAATATGATACATGATCCTCCCCTATGATTTCCCATATTTCCCCGGCTGTCCGTGTTGGAATAGGTATTCAGCCACCCATGCTTGTCGTTACAGAGGACCAATTGGATCGGGTGATCAGGAAACATACCTGCAATATTGCTGTGTGCGGCGTTAAACGTCAAATATAATTTATATTTTCTTTTATCAAACTTTACTAGAAATACGTTTTTGTTTAAATACGTTTCCCTTGACATGTTTTATCGGAATAATAGCTCTTAAGGGCTAATGTTGTAGTGTTACCTGTAATAGCCGACGTCAAATAACATTTCTTGTATCTTTACAAATCATAAAAAAAGACCCTAATCGGCCTTTAATTTGAAATTGGTTTCCTAAAAAGTTTGTTTGAATTGAGCAGTGTCCCGGCTAACGTGGCCCGGTCTGAGAGGTTTCTCTGAAAATGTAAAGGGATAATTAGGAGACAAACGTACTGTGTATGTTTTCAATGTAGAGCTAGGTTACACGTAGATTTTACCGCGCTAAATTGAATTTGAAACAAAACGCGCAGTTATTGTGATTTGATACCTCTGATTGATCCGCCAGAATCATGGCAGAATAGCGGTTAAAAACTGATCGTTTGCAACCAGGTCAAAGGGCGGGTTGGCACACAATGACGCCAAGTACGGTCGCAGTCCTAACCCTCCGATCATCACCAGCACTGTCTGCGTGGGGACAGAGAGCGACATTTCCCTCTGTCCGGCCACACGGGTCCTTCCCTCGCAGACATCGTGCGACCAGGCAGGAGTCGAGTGTTACAGTGAGTACAATGATGACAAGGCGGGTGTCGAGTGTTATAGTGAGTACAATGATGACAAGGCGGGTGTCGAGTGTTACAGTGAGTACAATGATGACAAGGCGGGTGTCGAGTGTTATAGTGAGTAAAGTGTTGACCAGGCAGGAGTCGAGTGTTACAGTGAGTACAATGTTGACAAGGCGGGTGTGGGGTGTTATAGTGAGTACAATGATGACAAGGCGGGTGTCGAGTGTTACAGTGAGTACAATGTTGACAAGGCGGGTGTGGGGTGTTACAGTGAGTACAATGTTGATAAGGCGGGTGTCGAGTGTTATAGTGAGTAAAGTGTTGACCAGGCGGGTGTCGAGTGTTACAGTGAGTACAATGTTGACAAGGCGGGTGTGGGGTGTTATAGTGAGTACAATGATGACAAGGCGGGTGTCGAGTGTTACAGTGAGTACAATGTTGATAAGGCGGGTGTCGAGTGTTATAGTGAGTAAAGTGTTGACCAGGCGGGTGTCGAGTGTTACAGTGAGTACAATGTTGACAAGGCGGGTGTCGAGTGTTATAGTGAGTAAAGTGTTGACCAGGCGGGTGTCGAGTGTTACAGTGAGTACAATGTTGATAAGGCGGGTGTCGAGTGTTATAGTGAGTACAACGTTGACAAGGCGGGTGTGAGGTGTTACAGTGAGTACAATGTTGACAAGGCAGGTGTCGAGTGTTACAGTGAGTACAATGTTGTCAAGGCAGGTGTCGAGTGTTATAGTGAGTACAATGTTGACAAGGCGGGTGTCGAGTGTTACAGTGAGTACAATGTTGACAAGGCGGGTGTGGGGTGTTACAGTGAGTACAATGTTGACCAGGCGGGTGTGGGGTGTTACAGTGAGTACAATGTTGACAAGGCGGGTGTGGGGTGTTATAGTGAGTACAATGTTGACCAGGCGGGTGTGGGGTGTTACAGTGAGTACGATGTTGACAAGGCGGGTGTCGAGTGTTATAGTGAGTAAAGTGTTGACCAGGCGGGTGTGGGGTGTTATAGTGAGTACAATGTTGACAAGGCGGGTGTAGAGTGTTATAGTGAGTACAATGTTGACAAGGCGGGTGTGGGGTGTTACAGTGAGTACAATGTTGACCAGGCGGGTGTCGGGTGTTATAGTGAGTACAATGATTGCCAGGCGGATGTGGAGTGTTATAGTGAGTACAATGTTGCCAAGGCGGGTGTGAGTTCTTCCCACTCAAGACAGACATGTTGTGACCAGTCAGGCTTTACTAGCGTTGGTCATCCACTCCTTCATATCTTCTTGAAGAACCCTGCTGGTAGCACAAGCTCAATGGAAGAAGATGGTCCATCCCCATCTATATGCTTATCTTCTTTTCATATCACTATTTGGTATATCGAAGCAATTGTGCACAATGCCATTCGATACATGTGACCTCATGTGTACAGTGACCTCCCGTGTGCACTGACAGCCACATAACGAGCAGGGCGAGGCTGACAAGATCAACGCTCGGGGATGTGTACTGAACTGAGGCGATTGGGCATTTTGTCGTCATTGCGAAGTGAATCACTCAGAACTGCTGATTGTCTGTCTCCATAACCCTGAACATGTGATTAGTGCCTCAGTATTTATTTTCAACGGTTCAGCATTTAGTCACGCAAGGGAATTCCTAAAGTGATTCGTCAGCGTTTACATAATTTGTAGAAACGTTTGAAATATGACCGTCAAACAATGTCGTTCACATCCGTGGCCATGTTACAGTCCTCCCGTTCAATGGAGAGCTGTAAATCTTTTGAACTTCAAAAACCAATTAGATAGTCTGCTTTTACGTTTGTATTCTCACCCAGATGCGCCCATTGTTACAGATTGTGGAAACCAATACTCCAGTGAGACAGGCACGCTTCAGACGGACAACTACCCCCAGCCCTACCCCCGCAACGTGCACTGCCTCTACATCATCCGCCCCACCAACACGGGGCAACTGTACAAGTTGGAGTTTACTGACTTCAAGACAGAATCCTGCTGTGACATTGTACATGTAGGTACTCTACTGACTTTACCACACTGACCTCCAGACAGAGTCCTGCTGTGACATTGTGCATGTAGGTACCACGCTGACCTCCAGACAAAGTCCTGCTGTGACATTGTGCATGTAGGTACCATACTGTCCTCCAGACAGAGTCCTGCTGTGACATTGTACATGTAGGTACCACACTGACCTCCAGACAGAGTCCTGCTGTGACATTGTACATGTAGGTACCACACTGACCTCCAGACAGAGTCCTGCTGTGACATTGTACATGTAGGTACCACACTGACCTCGAGACAGAGTCCTGCTGTAACATTGTACATGTAGGTACCATACTGACTTTACCACACTGACCTCCAGACAGAGTCCTGCTGTGACATTGTACATGTAGGTACCACGCTGACCTCCAGACAAAGTCCTGCTGTGACATTGTGCATGTAGGTACCATACTGTCCTCCAGACAGAGTCCTGCTGTGACATTGTACATGTAGGCACCACACTGACCTCCAGACAGAGTCCTGCTGTGACATTGTACATGTAGGTACCACACTGACCTCCAGACAGAGTCCTGCTGTGACATTGTACATGTAGGTACCACACTGACCTCCAGACAGAGTCCTGCTGTGACATTGTACATGTAGGTACCACACTGACATCGAGACAGATTCCTGCTGTAACATTGTGCATGTAGGTACCACACTCACCTCCAGACAGAGTCCTGCTGTGACATTGTACATGTAGGTACCACACTGACCTCCAGACAGAGTCCTGCTGTGACATTGTGCATGTAGGTACCACACTGACCTCCAGACAGAGTCCTGCTGTGACATTGTGCATGTAGGTACCACACTCACCTCCAGACAGAGTCCTGCTGTGACATTGTACATGTAGGTACCACACTGACCTCCAGACAGAGTCCTGCTGTGACATTGTGCATGTAGGTACCACACTGACCTCCAGACAGAGTCCTGCTGTGACATTGTGCATGTAGGTACCACACTGACCTCCAGACACAGTCCTGCTGTGACATTGTGCATGTAGGTACCACACTGACCTCCAGACACAGTCCTGCTGTGAAATTGTGCATGTAGGTACCACACTGACCTCCAGACACAGTCCTGCTGTGACATTGTGCATGTAGGTACCACACTGACCTCCAGACAGAGTCCTGCTGTGACATTGTGCATGTAGGTACCACTCTGTCTCTGTCTTCGTGTGTCTCTCTCTCCGTCTCACACACACACACACACACACACACACACACACACACACACACACACTGATGGTCATTTGATATTAAAATGGACATACTTTTGTCACCTTTTTCAGGATAGCCAGCATCGAATAATTAATGCATTTTCGAAAGAACGCCAGGTCTCCAATGGGATATCAACTTGTAAGCCACAAAGCCGTGCCAGAATCCTGTTATTGAGGCTTGAATCCAAGATTGGTGATGCTGAAGATTACCCTCTCTTGAATAATACGTGTACAGCATATGCGTTGTGGGTGTGAAGTAGTTTGTTCCTCATAGTGGCCTTTTGATATCCAGGTCTCTACACTCAACTCGTCGTCAAGCAACCCAGTCGGTGGCTCCACCTACAGCGGCAATAGCAAACCCCCCATCCTCCTCGGCAAGGCCTTCGTCGTCAGCTTCGACACCGACGGCTCCAACAGCATGGCCGGCTTCCAAGCTAAATGGAGCCGTACGTACAATCACTTCTACATATAAATTCAACATTTCTTTGAGACCCAGCACTACATGATATGGGCATTCGTTAGCGACAATAGAAACGTTTCGCCCGTCTAGCATATCGTTATTCTTCTCGAGTGTTGACCAGATTGATTAGTGATTAATAAAAATGTTACATGCCATCGGGTTAGGACGTGACTCCTTCAGCACTGTTACCACCACGCTTACAACCAGCATCAGTATCTTTGGGCCAATTCTAACCGGAACCTCATACCAGTTCATGAGATATATGAAAGGAATCTTCGAATTTGTGTTTTCCGGTCCAAATGTACAGTTGAACCACATCATTTTGACGATTACAAACACTTACGTGTTTTTGTTAGCAAACGGCAATGTCCAGCTGTCTCAGCTGGTCTTAGGGTGTTATGTCATCCTTCAAATATTTGTATATATGGTCACATACTGTCCAACTCGCAACTAGTTATTACATGTACATAACTTCTGTTGAAAAGAGTTAAGTAAACATAACTCAGTTATACTACCATGTACACATTGTAGTAAATACTTAACACTGCCTGATAACACTACACATACTTGTACAAGCGGCCATGTCCAGTGTACACTGTCTGATAACACTACACATACCTGTACAAGCGGCACTGTCCAGTGAGTTTACACTGTCCACCTACAGCGGCGTTGGTGCAGGATGTCGTCAACATGTCGTGTGACGCGGGAACCTTCAACATCCAGATAGACCTCCCCTTCCTGAAGCGACTCTACCCAGCTTCCTCAGAGCGAACCATCGCTCTGGCTGATCCCTCCTGTACCGGCACCATCATCAACGACATCATCGTCATCAACACCAACGCCGATTCCTGTGGGACAATAGTCAAGGTAGATGTGTGATGTTATAAACCTCCTGTGACGTCATCCTTGTGTTTTTACAGGGCCTTGTTTTCGTACAATTACCTTTCAGCAGGGATAATCTATAGAAAGTCCCCGGGTCTTTCAGAAGGGAACGTCTGTAAAGTGGGTTTGACATCTTTTGACTGTCCCTTTTTAGAAATTTATTTTGCTGTTAAAGACAATAAAAGTAGGGAAATATATTTATGTGGGATAAAATTTTGTATTGTAGACTAGCGAGTGAACCAGCAGGCTACAAAAGCGCTGACAACGCACAATTTTGTCTTGAGACTCTTTTTTCAAGTGTATATATGTACGCCAGCAAGATATATATTACGTCCGTTTCCTAAGGTTCGTGGAAAGTGTTAGAAATATAAATTTTTTATAAATGTTGTTTCCTCCCACTCGAGTTCGTGTGTGTGTGTGTGTGTGTGTGTGTGTGTGTGTGTGTGTGTGTGCGCGCGCGCGTGCGTGTGTGTGCGTGTGTGTGTGAGAGAGAGAGAGAGAGACGGAGAGAGAGACACACACGGAGACAGAGACAGAGGGTAATAGGGGCTTGACTCTGTGTTCGCTCATCAAACCGAAGCTCCGGGTTCGATTCCCGGTTTGACGCTGGTGTTATCTAGATTACAGTAACCCAGTGTGTCGTATCCTGTTCAGACAGAGACAGGCAGACATGTCTACACCAACTTCCTCGTGGACAGAATATTTGCAACCGAGTCCAACAACATTGTCCGAGGTGAGAGGTGGAAGATACCCATCTCCTGCTCCGTGCCTCGTTCTGAATCCTTCTCCATCCACTATCACCCCTACCCGGATGTGGGCACGCGAAGAGAATCGGGAGTGGAACGCATGAGCAGGGAGGTGAAAGGTCATATCCGGCTTCAGCAGTATTTCCCGACGAGCATCACTGTCTATGAAGACCAGGCGATGACGATCAGGCAGTTCACAAGACCACAGAAGAGATTAGGGGAGGATCTGTTTTTCAGGTAACCCGGTGCCAACGATTTGATACGTTCTATACTGCGGCCGTAAAAGGCGACTGTGCATATGCTTGTCGTAAGAGGCGACTAACTGGATCGGGTAGTCATGCTCGCTGACTTTGTTGATACATGTCATCGTATCTCAAATGCGTGGATCGATGTTCATGATGTCAATCACTGGATTGTTTGGTCAAGACTCGATTATTTTACAGGCCGCCGTCATATAGCTGGAATATTACTGAGTGCGGCGTTAAACAACAAATAAACAAACAAACAAATTGAATGGAACCCATGTGCTTGTGCAGATTGGTGATATCTCTGATATGTTGTGTCACACGAACAGAAAATTATTTCTCAAATTCATAAGACTATCTCACTGGCAACCATTTAGTTTCAAAGAGAATTGTGGCTGATGCAGACTTCAACTCAGATATTGTCTGTGGCGAGGGTATTTACTGTAATCAGTGGCACCACGATGTGTTATGTCTGAACTATCTCACTGATGTGATGATCTGATGCTTGTGTGTCCTGCCTAAGGGGCGGTCGGGTAACCTAGTGGTTAAAGCTTACGGTCGTCACGCCGAAGACCCGGGTTCAATTCCCGACATTGGTACAATGTGTGAAGCCCATTTCTGGTGTCCCCTGCTGTGATATTGCTGGAATATTACTAAAAGCGGCGTAAAACCATTCTCACTCACTCACTCACTCCTGCCAGAGTACAACTGGACCAGGCTGACTCGGACTTGAAGCTTGTGGTGACGTCATGCTTTGCTCTTCCAACAGCTGTGGAGACAAGGAACAGCTCTAAGTACATCCTTGCTCAGGGAGGGTATGTTCAAACTTGTATCATTGCAGCTGTACGCCTGTATTATTGGAATGCTGTATCATTGTAGCATTGTATCAGTGTACCAGTGAACCAACCTGTTATTGTGCCAGTGTATTAGTGTAGTGGTTTATTATTATTATATAATTGTATTATTGTAGCACTGTATTGTTGTAGTTGTGTATTAATGTTGTAGTTGTGTATTGCTGTAATGGTGTATTATTGTTGTAGTGTATTGTTGGAGCACTGTATTGTTATAATGTTGTATTATTGTTGTAGTTGTGTATTATTGTAGTTGTGTATTATTATTATTGTGTATTATTGTTGTAGTGGGGTATTATTGTTGTGATGTATTATTGTTGTAGTGTATTATTGTAGCACTGTATTGTTATAATGGTGTATTATTGTTGTGGTGTATTATTTTGGCACTGTATTTTAATAATGGTCTAATTATTGTTGTAGTTGTGTCTTATTGTTGTCGTGTAATATTGTTGTGGTGTATTATTGTTGTGGTGTATTATTCTAGCATTGTATTGTTATAATGGTGTATTATTGTAGTGGTGTATTATTGTTGTGGTGTATTATTTTGGCACTGTATTGTAATAATGGTGTAATTATTGTTGTAGTTGTGTCTTATTGTTGTCGTGTAATATTGTTGTGGTGTATTATTGTTGTAGTGTATTATTGTAGCACTGTATTGTTATAATGGTGTATTATTGTAGTGGTGTATTATTGTTGTGGTGTATTATTTTGGCACTGTATTGTAATAATGGTGTAATTATTGTTGTAGTTGTGTCTTATTGTTGTCGTGTAATATTGTTGTGGTGTATTATTCTAGCATTGTATTGTTATAATGGTGTATTATTGTTGTAGTGTATTATTGTAGCAATGTATTGTTATAATGGTGTATTATTGTTGTGGTGTATTATTGTAGCAATGTATTGTTATAATGGTGTATTATTGTTGTGGTGTATTATTGTTGTAGTGTATTATTGTAGCAATGTATTGTTATAATGGTGTATTATTGTAGTGGTGTATTATTGTTGTGGTGTATTATTTTGGCACTGTATTGTAATAATGGTGTAATTATTGTTGTAGTTGTGTATTATTGTTGTAGTGGTGTATTATTGTAGTGGTGTATTATTGTTGTAGTGTAATATTGTAGCACTGTATTGTTATCGTGGTGTATTATTGTTGTGTTGTATTATTGTTGTAGTTGTGTATTGTTGTAATGGTGTATTATTGTTGTAGTGGTGTATTATTGTAGTGGTGTATTATTGTTGTAGTGTAATATTGTAGCACTGTATTGTTATCATGGTGTATTATTGTTGTGTTGTATTATTGTTGTAGTTGTGTATTGTTGTAATGGTGTATTATTGTTGTAGTGGTGTATTATTGTAGTGGTGTATTATTGTTGTAGTGTAATATTGTAGCACTGTATTGTTATAATGGTGTATTATTGTTGTAGTTGTGTATTGTGGTAGTGATGTGCTATTGTTGTAGTTATTTAATTTTGTAGTGGTGTATTATTGTTGTTGTGTATTATTGTTTTAGTGTATTATTGCAGCACTGTATTGTTATAATGGTGTATTATTGTTGTAGTTGTGTATTATTGTAATGGTGTATTATTGTTGTAGTTGTGTATTGTTATAATGGTGTATTATTGTTGTAGTTGTGTATTGTTATAATGATGTATTATTGTTGTAGTTGTGTATTGTTATAATGATGTATTATTGTTGTAGTTGTGTATTGTTATAATGATGTATTATTGTTGTAGTGGTGTATTATTGTTGTTGTGTATTATTGTTGTTGTGTAGGAATGGGTTATTATAGGAATCTGTTATTGTAGCAATGTAATATTCAAGCCAGATCCCCCCAATGTTCATTGCATGTGTTTCAGCTGCACAGTGGACAGTGGGACACACGTCCTCAGGACAACCAACCACTACACAGACTTTCAGACGAAGGTGTTCAAATTCGCGGGGAACTACAACCAGGTGTACATCACGTGTGACGTCAGAGTCTGTCCGGTACAAGATAGCTCCGCCTCCTGCCAGCAGACCTGTCAATCACCGGGGAAGAGGAGCACTTCCAGACAAGAGGGGCGAAACAGAGTTAGGTTTGGCCCTGTCATAATTGAGGACTCGCCTGTCAACTGAGACCTGTCTCACCATATGTCTTTAACCATTAGACCAGTGATTGTAAATGTTGAGTTTGCCAATAAACAAGGTTATAATGGAATATGTCATAGATGATCTATTATATCTTTGTTTTGCACATCAAGCAAACACTGTTACTGTCTACCAAGACTTTATATATTCGAAACCCGGACCTTCCGATGTTTAGGCGGACGCTCTACCACTAGGCCACGGAGGCGGTCGCTGGCTTAGGGAATCACGTTAGTGATATTGAGGAGAACCATGACTATTTTATAAGACACTATTCTGATTGGTGAATCAGGGTTTTTAATCCCAATAACAACCTCTGTATCAGCGCATTGGACGGTTAATTATCGCGGTAGATGATTTCAATACAAAAGTACTTCTTTATCCTGGTCGATTTAGTGATTGAGTTTGATTTTACGCCGCTTTTAGCAAACTTCCAGCAACAAAACGGCGGGGGACACACAATGGGCTTCACACATTGTATCCAATGTCAACCAGCCCCCACAGCAGCAACCAATTCCTGGACTTCACGGTCTGTCACTGCACAAGCTGTTTTTCAGATTTGAAAACAGGTTTTTGTCACAAAGGGTCAGATCTGGTGACTAAGGAGGGTGGGGTTCGTATCCACATTCCCGTACAGCAACCATCACAACATGACTGTGTGAACTGGAACATTTTCCTGAGGAGAAAGCCGGCAAATCATACATCACATACACACACACACACACACACACACACACACACACACACACACACACACACACACACACACACACGCACGCACGCACGCACGCACGCACGCACGCACGCACACGCACGCACACGCACGCGCACGCACGCACGCACACACACGCACGCACACACACGCACGCACGCGTACTGGTGGAAGTAAGGTTTACCTCATCACAATAATAAGATTTCCTCAGTTACATTGAAACGCAACAAACTTGGTCATATTTATCCTTGGCTAATATTTACTTCTCCCTGATCATATTTCTAAACCTTTACTGTTTTTGGAACTGGTAACCACAAACTACCAACAGAAACAGGCCCATAGGAAACTGTATCACGAGAACCAAGGATATGTACATTGTGCGACTCCCAAGTAATTGGTGACGAGTTCCACTATTTATTCAGCTGTAATTCACCTTTAACCTTACGCACTGAATGTGTCAATGAATACTACACACACTGGCCAAACATGATTAAATATCGTAAACTGTTCACAAATGGTAAAATAAGCACTTAAAAAAACTGCCATAGTTCCTCAGACATTTGAATGCTAATCTGTGACGTATGCTACAATATATGTCATCAAGCTGTACATCTATTACTGTAGTTTTTATTGTTGTACAACTTATGTACAACCGATGGTTGTTGTCGAGTAATACAAGAGAGAGAGAGAGAGAGAGAGAGAGAGAGAGAGAGAGAGAGAGAGAGAGAGAGAGAGAGAGAGAGAGAGAGAGAGAGAGAGAGAGAGAGAGAGAGAGATTAAATTAAAAAAGTCCCTTGGAAAACATTTTCTTTTCGCGTAACCCCAAACCCCGAGTGCGCCTGCGCCGGACAAAGACGGATTTTCGCCGGGGACGGGTGCTCCCTCGCTGCGAGGGGACACCCGGCGAGGGAACACCCGACCCGGCTTGGGTCCTATCACTCGGGCGAGCGCCCGTCCGACCGCGAGGGACCTCGCCAGCTCGGCTTGGGTCAAGCTGAAAGCGAATGAGTTAAAATTTGACGGCACATCGTCATTGTCAGGCGAAAAGATGACTGTTTAACTTAAATTCTTCAAAATAATATTTCATACGGGTAAGACACCAGAAGAATGGTTGGTTAAATGGGATGTAATTAAGTCAATTGTCAAGAAGGGTAAGCCTAAGTTACAACAAAACAACTATAAACCACTTCCATGAACACTTGTAAGACGCTTGGGTTAAGTTTGTAATCTGTTGTGGGCAATTTAATCACTACTTTCATTGAAGTAAATTGATATAATATTATCTGATGTCTAACCTGGTTCCAGAAAGAACTACTCTGCAACTCTGCTACTTCACTAAATGAGAATGAGTCTTTCGGCCAGCAGCTGTCGTAGAGAACCCTGTGGAGTTACTTGACTCAGGTGTTAACTGGCCGTCAACGCACCGGGTCCGTATCTTGTTCAAGTGGTGTTTCAGCTTCGCTGCTTTTTTGTAGCAGTAATACAGTTGTTTGGTTAAAACCTGATTGTATATTTGAGTTAATTTGTGATCTGTATGAGCTCAGATTGGATTTTTCTTTAATTGTAATTGTACAGCTAGTAGTCATTTAATAAAACTGTCAACCTAGTACCACGTTGTCTTCATCACTTTATTCTTACTTGATGAAACCCCTGATCACTGGACCACAGCTCCGCGACACTCAGCAAAGAGGCATGTTATCATCCTGCACCTCCCAACCTTGGTGAATACCACCTTCACATGGCTGACCTTGAACTTGCCAATGGAGGACCCACACCCAGAAACAGATGCTCCTTGTCTAGTCATTTTCTATTGATACCGGTATGTCCTTTTGACTCGACAAATGCAACATTCGTCATTTGAAACGTGGCACGGTAGAGGGAGGATCACTCAGTTTTACTTGGCGGAGGAGTTGTGGACGGTCGGGCCTATACGTACCTAGGGATGCAGGTTAGGGACTCCTAAACACCAGAATGTCCAAATCAAGGAAACAATTCAGGCAGAATCCAAATGTAGACTTAACAAATCTGGAGTTCAGAGCTGAACGCTCGCAATAAAGTTAAAGCCACAAATACTTATGCCGTACCCGTCCTTTTATATTCTTTTGGTGTTCTTGGTTTGTTTGACAAGGCAGCACTTCCTTGGAGAAGTCCCATTCCCTGTCTGGAGTACGTATAGGGGGGGGCAAGGACCCTGAGCGGATGATAAGCCTAATCAGTCGGACTGTGCCATGATCAACCAAACCGTCTTAATGCATTTGTTATTCTAATCTGTACATGATAATGATTAGTACATTTGTAGCGTGCTCAACTCCATACACTAGATGAATGATCTACATGAAATAGAGGAAAACTCAGTTGATGCTAGGCTCTAGATACAAGACAAATAGATTTTTGTAGCGGTTGGCGTTGATTTTAAACTTGCTAAAAGCGTCTGAATAAGCATACCTTGAGACAGGACTATATGGAAATGGCATGTGCATATCTGTGAGATGTGTTGTTCCGCATGGAGTTTACTGTCATGAAGGAGGCCAGGATTTATTCCTATTTAGTCTGGACGAGTACAAGTACTTCTACGTAACATTTCACCATAAGTATATTATTCACAGAAGACATGTGCTTGGAACGCGAAATAGGTACTTAGGTAGACTATTCTAATATGTAATTTGAAAAAAAAAGAAGTTTTTGATGATACACTTTTTTCTTTCCTTTTGGCTCAGTCGTTGTTCATATTACAGGACACCATCCGAAAACAGACTCACTTGACAACCTCTGTATATTATGGGCATTATTTGTTGGGATCCGTGTAGAACCCAGTTGACATATGCCTTGACAAGTTGCCTTTACCTGGCCGACAGTTAACCAAACGAGTTGTCTCCCTTACACTACAACTGGACACAAAGACAGATTCAGTTGTTCTCTCGTCAGCCATGAGCTGTGAAAAATGGGCAAAACTCCAGGCCTACTACAGTCTGTACTGCACAGAGTATTTCTAATCCAGGTTTACTACAGTCTGTACTGCACAGAGTATTTCTAATCCAGGTTAACTACAGTCTGTTTTGTACAGAGTATTTCCAATCCAGGTCTACTACAGTCTGTTTTGTACAGAGTATTTCCAATCCAGGTCTACTACAGTCTGTTTTGTACAGAGTATTTCTAATCCAGGCTTACTACAGTCTGTATAGTACAGAATATTTCTAATCCAGGTCTACTACAGTCTGTATTGTGCAGAGTATTTCTAATCCAGATCTACTACAGTCTGAATTGTACATAGAATTTCTACTCCAGGTTAACTACAGTCTGTTTTGTACAGAATATTACTAATCCAGGTCTACTACAGTCTGTATTGTGCAGAGTATTTCTAATCCAGATCTACTACAGTCTGAATTGTACATAGTATTTCTACTCCAGGTTTACTACAGTCTGAACTGTACTGAGTATTTCTAATCCAGGCCTACTACAGTCTGAACTGTACTGAGTATTTCTAATCCAGGTCTACTACAGTATGTATTGTACAGAGTATTTCTAATCCAGGTCTACTACAGTCTGTATTGTGCAGAGTATTTCTAATCCAGGTTTACTACAGTCTGTACTGCACAGAGCATTTCCAATCCAGGCTTACTACAGTCTGTATAGTACAGAATATTTCTAATCCAGGTCTACTACAGTCTGTATTGTGCAGAGTATTTCTAATCCAGATCTACTACAGTATGTATTGTACAGAGCATTTCCAATCCAGGTTTACTACAGTCTGAACTGTACTGAGTATTTCTAATCCAGGCCTACTACAGTCTGAACTGTACTGAGTATTTCTAATCCAGGTCTACTACAGTATGTATTGTACAGAGTATTTCTAATCCAGGTCTACTACAGTCTGTATTGTGCAGAGTATTTCTAATCCAGGTTTACTACAGTCTGTACTGTACAGAGTATTTCTAATCCAGGGCTACTACAGTCTGTACTGCACAGAGTATTTCTAATCCAGGTTTACTACAGTCTGTATTGTGCAGAGTATTTCTAATCCAGGTTTACTACAGTCTGAACTGTACAGAGTATTTCTAATCCAGGGCTACTACAGTCTGTACTGCACAGAGTATTTCTAATCCAGGTTTACTACAGTCTGTCCTGTACAGAATATTTCTACTCCAGGCCTACTACAGTCTGTCCTGTACAGAATATTTCTACTCCAGGCCTACTACAGTCTGCCTTGTACAGAGTATTTCTACTCCAGGCCTTCTGCAGTCTGTCCTGTACAGAGTATTTCTACTCAAGTTTGAACTGCACAGAAGGTGTGAGAGGTCTGTGACTAGGTCAGATACACGACGTTGTTGTACCGTGTAGGTGTTATCACCGACCTGTGATAACAGCTGTATCTAACACCGCGCCACGGTGCAGAAGGTCGGCCCATCATCAGTATCAGCCACTACGACTTTGAGCCCTCCTCCAGACGCCCAGCCATTGATGTTCAGGGAGAGGACATCGTCTCAGGTTAGTCGAATTAGCAATAACTTAGTGCTCAGAAACGTTGAGGGCGTATTTGAAATCAAGGTCGTGTGTGTGCTGTCGTTGTTTCTAACAATTTAAACTTAACGTACATATATATTATATCATGAATCTTGGGTCTGTATCACGTGCGCATTATAGAAGAATATCGAGGTGCTGGTTGTGTTCAATGTTCAGTACATTAACGATAAGAACATGGAATTGTGGTATTATTTCTACGTTGAGGTTGTAGTGGTAGAGAGATGTAACATTTTCTAACCATATTGCCGGTCTCAATAAAGTTACCGTAATTTGAATGCAGTAAGATGATCAAATTATGAAATAAAACCCCTCGATTTTGAATCCGATCCGAGGTAAAACCACACTGAAGGTGAATCATAGTGTGGCCATATTCAGGGTGTGTGAACCACAACGTTTTCTGTCTTTTTTTGTAATTCGTGTAACATGTTTTGCTGAAATGAATGAAACATATTTTATTGACATTTTGTATTAGAATAAAAACGATAATATCCTTTTCGTAATCATAACCAGTCTCAGTTAAAAGCAGAGTCAGTTGTAAGGTACCGACTATATCAGCATGTGTTCATGAATCACTATCTGATAGGGATAATACAAGGTGTTCGCGAAACGGTGAGTGTGTTCTGCCCAAAACACATGCGAAGGCGAGGCAAGTGTTCACCTAAACAAACACGGGAACATACTGATGCGGTCACATTTGCCACTTTCCTCCACGTCTACCATAAACATTTTGAAAGCTTTTTTGAGGCCTTGAATGTTGTAACCTTGATTAAACAGCGTTGGAGCAACAGATGTATGTCGGTCCTTAAAATCTGCGCCGTAAGAGCTTGCTCGATAGCACAGCAAACGTTGTGAGATGTGAATCATAGATTTGTCCTGAAATGCATGTATGGTTTACTGACAAAATGTAACATCTACTGACAAAATGTGACATCTACTGACAAAATGTAACATGCGTGGTCTACAGTGACAACCTGTTCTCCCCGAGGCCGTTCACCAGCAGCTGTAGCAAGGATGAGGAATCTCATTCTCTTCCCTCTTCTTCTCCATCTCACCACGGCAGTTATTGACAGCACCGTCTGCTCAACACCAGGAACCCAGGCAAACAGTAAGTCTCCACCTGTCAGTAGCTGTAAAAGTAAGTCTCCACGCACCTGGCAGGAGCTGTAACAGTAAGTCTCCAGACACCTTGCAGTAGCTGTAACAGTAAGTCTCCAGGCACCTGGCAGTAGCTGTAACAGTAGTCTCCACGCACCTGGCAGTATCTGTAACAGTAAGTCTGCACGCACCTGCCAGTAGCTGTAGCAGTAAGTCCCCATGCATCTGTCAGTAGCTGTAACAGTAAGTCTGCGCCCACCTTTCAGTATCTGTAACAGTTAGTCTCCATGCATCTGTCAGTAGCTGTAACAGTTAGCCTCCACGCACCTGACATTAGCTGTAACAGTAAGTTTCCACGCACCTGGCTGTAGCTGTAACAGTAAGTTTCCACGCACCTGTCAGTAGCTGTAACAGTAAGTCTCCACGCACCTGTCAGTAGCTGTAACAGTAAATCTCCATGCACCTGACATTAGCTGTAACAGTAAGTTTCCACGCACCTGGCAGTAGCTGTAACAGTAAGTTTCCACGCACCTGGCTGTAGCTGTAACAGTAAGTCTCCACGCACCTGTCAGTAGCTGTAACAGTAAATCTCCACGCACCTGACAGTGGCTGTAACAGTAAGTTTCCACGCACCTGACAGTAGATGTAACAGTACGTTTCCACGCACCTGGCTGTAGCTGTAACAGTAAGTCTCCACGCACCTGCCAGTAGCTGTAACAGTAAGTCTCCACGCACCTGGCAGTAGCTGTAACAGTAAGTATCTACGCACCTGGCGGTAGCTGTAACAGTAAATCTACACGCACCTGACAGTAGATGTAACAGTACGTATCCACGCACCTGGCGGTAGCTGTAACAGTAAGTATCCATGCACCTGTCAGTAGCTGTAACAGTAAGTTTCCATGCACCTGGCAGTAGCTGTAACCGTAAGTTTCCACGCACCTGACAGTTGCTGTAACAGTAAATCTCCACGCACCTGGCAGTAGCTGTAACAGTAAGTCTCCACGCACCTGGCAGTAGCTGTAACAGTAAGTATCCACGCACCTAGCGGTAGCTGTAACAGTACGTCTCCATGCACTGGTCTATTTCAATGACAGTAAGCTTCCATGCACTGATCAGTCGTTGTAACAGTAAGACATGCTCGAAACCTCTGTTGTAAAAGCAGTTGATAGTAATATTTCAGTGACTATGTTTTATTATATTTCGTTCGCTACTTAAGCAGTCATTTGTACGGAGCATCGATACGTGCATTAGGCACGTTGACGTTCGGCCAACCCTGTAACCCAATGTGAATCTGTGTTGATGTTATCCGGCCCATTGTCACACGTGCTTCCGGTGTTTCTTCATCTACTCGTATGAGAACAGGAACATAGATGTGGTTAGGGCTAGGGTTAGGGCTAGGGCTAGGGCTAGTGATAGGGCTATGGCTAGTGAACGGTTGTATCCCACTGTGGTTTTGTTTAGATATACCCCGGCCAACTGTTCCCTCGACATTCGAAGTACACGTAGAGTGCATCATCGTCAACAAGAACAGGTCCACTGAGGTGCATGAGTACTTCCAAGAGTCCGCCAAATATGCAGCGGTCCACCAGACCTTATTGGGAGGCCATTTCTATGGCTACTTCGACTACTCAGACAACGAGTTCCTGGGGATAGACCCAGATGCAAGTAAGTAACATTGCACTTGATGAGGGTGTGAGTGATTTAGGTCCGACGCTACATTGTTTTGGGGTTATATAGCAGCGTGGGGTGTCTTACTGCTGGAAGTGATGTTCCGTCAGGTCGTTGACGTGGGGGGGGGGGGGGAGCAACTTTGCATAACGATTGAGATTCAATCTTTATGAGTGAGTGACGTTTTACGCCGCTTTTAGCAATATTCCTGCAATATCATGACGGGGGACCCCAGAAATGGGCTTCACAAATTGTACCCATGTCGGGATTTGAACTCGGGTCTTCGGCGTGCCGAGCGTATGTTTTAACCACGAGGCTACCCGACTGGCCAAATCTTTATGAGTAAGTATGATAGTAAGAGTGAGTGTAGAAGTAGGAGTAAGATGATGGCGATAGTGAGTGTAATAGTGAGAGTGTGATTTTGAGGGTATGATAATCAGAATGAGTGTGATAATGAGAGTGACTGTGAGTGTGATATTGTTGATGACCGTGAGTGTGAGAGTGAGAGTTAGTGTGAAAGTGTTAATGAGTGTAAGTGTAAGTGTGACAGTGAGAGTGTGTCAATTAAGTTAAAGTGTTAAATAGTGCATGACTGAAACTAGATGCGAAATGTTTCGTTGAAGAACCAACAAACAAACAAAATAAGTGTGACATGTAACGACCTTTTGTTCCAGAAACGTGTCAGGTGTCAGACCTGAGCACATCAGGTCAGAGGTTCCTTTTCGGTGTCAACGTCACCGGGGGCGGCAACAGGATCTACTCCGCCGCAGGCGCCCTCCACTTCGGCAGCGGCAGCGTGGAGGTGTACAGTGGGACGGACACGGTCCGGGGCATCAACGTGCAGAAATGGTACTCATGTCAATACTGGGCCGGCATGGACGCCACCATGAACGTCACGTGGTACTTCTCAGGTTGGTGCTTCATTGGAAGGATTCGTAAGGAGGGGACCCGTGAGGATCCGGGGTAGAATAGGTCTTCAGCAACCCATGCTTGCCGTAAAGGCGACTATGCTTGTCGCAAGAGGCGACTAACGGGATCGGGTGGTCAGGCTCGTTGACTTGGTTGATGCATGTCATCGATCCCAATTGCGTAGATCGATGCTCATGATATTAATCACTGGATTGTCTGGTCAAGACTCGATTATTTACTGACCGCCGTCATATAGCTGGAATGTTGCTGAGTGCGGCGTGAAACAGCAAACCAACCAATCAACCAACCAACCAACCAACCAACCAACCAACCAACGTAAGGAGGGCGCATCGAGGACAAACTCTGTCGATAGCATTGACACCAAGTTGGACTACTGGGCTTCCATAGATCTCTCAAAACTCTTTATTATTAGTCGGTGTCCACAACGCACCTTACCGGAAGAGGTGTAATAGTATGGGTATCCAGTCGAAGGTTCGTAACATGAGATCACTCCACAATTTGAGCTATCGCTTTTGCAACCTTCTCAGCCGATTCTTCCACTTCCAGGAATGTTTAAGGACGGAGAGGGGAAGGCTTTATGTTGTAATGCGGCAATATTGATCCCCATTGGGTGTATTAACCATATAAATATAGTATATTACCGGGCAAAACAAAGTATACACTTGAAAATTGAATTCGACCATCATCGAAATGTTACCAGGCTGAAAACAGTCTCCGAATGACTGCAAATTTAACATCCAAAACACAGCCATGATATATACCCGTATCAAATACATCACCATCAAATAACCATTCCTTGTTTGGTTCATTTTTGTGACCCCCCGAAGTCGGATATGTCGAATCCCCGATTTTGTAGAACTCACTGTCCGGTCCCGACAAACACTTAATATATGCATATTTTAACCTAAATAAGTAAATATGTCTAATTCTTTTTAATGTAGAATTTGTATCACTTATAATGGTGTAAATACGATAGGGCGTGAAGTATCAAAGTCGGGAAGCCGTTCATTAGAAATGTCGCAGACGGATAAGTCGAACTAGTTCCCAGGACTTTGCGACATAGGTGTTTGACTGCATATATTCAAATTGTGAAGCTTTTTTTCTGGTTTCGCCTGTCGTGATTTTGCTGGAATGTTGCTAAAAGCGGCGTAAACCTATACTCACTCACCCACTGCAGTAAGGTTGTATGGAGACTGGCTTTGTTCTTGCAGACCCTCACGAGTGGGACATGGCCCTCAATATCCCCAGCATCCCGGTCAGGGCGTGGGTCAAGGGGACGCGGGGGGCCTCCGCAGACGGACCAGCGCACCCCTTCGAACACATCTACGACCTCATACACTTCAAGAACTACATCGAAAAATCCGACGCATTTGAAGTGAGTTTCTGAGTTTTGTGATGGAATGCATTACAATAACAACTCGTGCCAGCATTATTGTCCATACGTATCACGAGAATGAAGAAGAATGCCTTTCTCCATTACATTTCATAATCTGAGAAGCTAACTTTTTTATCTGAAGAAAATGCGCCTTTGGTTAACATTGTACGTCTCGTAAGGTAATACATTAGATCGAGTTTACAGGCTGGGTGGCCAGATAGATCGGGCGCCATCGTCGCCCCATAGTGTTGGACGTTGCTCATGACGTATATCACGGACTTGCCTCGGGAGACTCAATTATTTACAGGCCGTCGTCATGGAGCTGGAGTGTTGCTAACTCGACAAAATTGACACATTCAATGCAAAATCATTATAATCACGTCACCTGACAAGAAGTATTTTTTCTGCCCAATTCTACAGACACCGAGTTTAGTGTCATGTCCGGGCCGGAAGTTGACAAAGCCGTTTCCCGCCATCTCCACAGCATTTTCCTTCACTGCGGAAATCATCGACACTGTACGGGCCGACGTCCGATTCATGCAGGTCTGTATACAGTATAATAGAATTCTGGAAAAGTAACCCACACCAAATACTTCATTTGACATTAACAAATACACAGAAAGAGTTTTCAAGGACAGAAGTTGAATTCCAGTGAAATATATGACCTGATGTTATGTGACCTGACGAAATATGTGATCTGACGTAATATGTGACCTGCCGAAATATGACCTGACGTAACATGTGACCATGCGTAACCTGTGACCTGAAGAAATATGTGACCTGACCTAATATGTATCCTGATGTAATATGTGACCTGACGAAATATGTGACCTGACGAAATATGTGACCTGGCGTAATATGTGACCTGGCGTTATATGTGACATGCGACTTGATGTGTGCTATGTGATCTCGCATAATATGTAACCTGACGTAATATGTGACCTGGCGTAACGTGACACGACGTAATATGGTCCTTACGTTATATGCCACTTGACGTTATTTGTGACCTGACGTAATTTAGCAGGGCGTGGAGTCGTCCCACAGATGACATCCTTACCTTGTCAGCTTGCCGACGGGGTTCACCTCTTTGGTCATGTGGACAAGGCGTCCGACCTCTGATCAGAAGGTCCGTGGTTCGAATCCCATCATGGGACTCGGAAATGTTATGGCCGCTACAGTAATATGTGACCTGACGTAAAATGTGACTTGATGTACAATGTGATCTCGTGTAATGTGTGACCTGTCATAATATGTGACCTAACATAATGCTTGTGAGTGGACGTAATATCTGACTTGATGTACAATACGATCTCACGTAATATGTGACCTGATGCAACACATGACTTGGTGTACTGTATGTAGCCTGCAATAGGTTATCCCTGACCGCCTGGAAGTGTATCTAATCAACATATGACTTGGTGTACTGTATGTAGCCTGCAATAGGTTATCCCTGACCGCCTGAGGTGTATCTAATCAACATATGACTTGGTGTACTGTATGCAGCCTGCAATAGGTTATCTCTGACCGCCTGAGGTGTATCTAATCAACTCATGACTTGGTGTACTGTATGTAGCCTGCAATAGGTTATCTCTGACCGCCTGGAAGTGTATCTAATCAACATACGACTTGGTGTACTGTATGCAGCCTGCAATAGGTTATCTCTGACCGCCTGGAAGTGTATCTAATCAACACATGACTTGGTGTACTGTATGTAGCCTGCAATAGGTTATCTCTGACCGCCTGAGGTGTATCTAATCAACGCATGACTTGGTGTTCTGTATGTAGCCTGCAATAGGTTATCTCTGACCGCCTGAGGTGTATCTAATCAACATATGACTTGGTGTTCTGTATGTAGCCTGCAATAGGTTATCCCTGACCGCCTGAGGTGTATCTAATCAATACATGACTTGGTGTACTGTATGTAGCCTGCAATAGGTTATCTCTGACCGCCTGGATGTGTATCTAATCAACACATGACTTGGTGTACTGTATGTAGCCTGCAATAGGTTATCCCTGACCGCCTGGAAGTGTATCTATTCAACATATGACTTGGTGTACTGTATGAAGCCTGCAATAGGTTATCCCTGACCGCCTGGAAGTGTATCTATTCAACATATGACTTGGTGTACTGTATGAAGCCTGCAATAGGTTATCCCTGACCGCCTGGAAGTGTATCTAATCAACATATGACTTGGTGTACTGTATGAAGCCTGCAATAGGTTATCCCTGACCGCCTGGAAGTGTATCTAATCAACATATGACTTGGTGTACTGTATGAAGCCTGCAATAGGTTATCCCTGACCGCCTGGATGTGTATCTAATCAACACATGACTTGGTGTACTGTATGTAGCCTGCAATAGGTTATCCCTGACCGCCTGGATGTGTATCTAATCAACATACGACTTGGTGTACTGTATGTAGCCTGCAATAGGTTATCCCTGACCGCCTGGATGTGTATCTAATCAACATATGACTTGGTGTACTGTATGTAGCCTGCAATAGGTTATCCCTGACCGCCTGGATGTGTATCTAATCAACATATGACTTGGTGTACTGTATGAAGCCTGCAATAGGTTATCCCTGACCGCCTGGATGTGTATCTATTCAACATATGACTTGGTGTACTGTATGTAGCCTGCAATAGGTTATCCCTGACCGCCTGAGGTGTATCTAATCAACTCATGACTTGGTGTACTGTATGTAGCCTGCAATAGGTTATCCCTGACCGCCTGGAGGTGTATCTAATCAACTCATGACTTGGTGTACTGTATGTAGCCTGCAATAGGTTATCCCTGACCGCCTGAGGTGTATCTAATCAACATATGACTTGGTGTACTGTATGTAGCCTGCAATAGGTTATCCCTGACCGCCTGAGGTGTATCTAATCAACTCATGACTTGGTGTTCTGTATGTAGCCTGCAATAGGTTATCTCTGACCGCCTGGATGTGTATCTAATCAACGCATGACTTGGTGTACTGTATGCAGCCTGCAATAGGTTATCCCTGACCGCCTGGAAGTGTATCTAATCAACACATGACTTGGTGTTCTGTATGAAGCCTGCAATAGGTTATCTCTGACCGCCTGGAAGTGTATCTAATCAACACATGACTTGGTGTACTGTATGCAGCCTGCAATAGGTTATCCCTGACCGCCTGGAAGTGTATCTAATCAACATATGACTTGGTGTACTGTATGAAGCCTGCAATAGGTTATCCCTGACCGCCTGGAAGTGTATCTAATCAACATATGACTTGGTGTACTGTATGAAGCCTGCAATAGGTTATCCCTGACCGCCTGGAAGTGTATCTAATCAACATATGACTTGGTGTACTGTATGTAGCCTGCAATAGGTTATCCCTGACCGCCTGGATGTGTATCTAATCAACATATGACTTGGTGTACTGTATGTAGCCTGCAATAGGTTATCTCTGACCGCCTGGATGTGTATCTAATCAACATATGACTTGGTGTACTGTATGTAGCCTGCAATAGGTTATCCCTGACCGCCTGGATGTGTATCTAATCAACACATGACTTGGTGTACTGTATGTAGCCTGCAATAGGTTATCCCTGACCGCCTGGAAGTGTATCTATTCAACATATGACTTGGTGTACTGTATGTAGCCTGCAATAGGTTATCCCTGACCGCCTGAGGTGTATCTAATCAACACATGACTTGGTGTACTGTATGTAGCCTGCAATAGGTTATCCCTGACCGCCTGGAAGTGTATCTATTCAACATTTGACTTGGTGTACTGTATGTAGCCTGCAATAGGTTATCCCTGACCGCCTGAGGTGTATCTAATCAACACATGACTTGGTGTACTGTATGTAGCCTGCAATAGGTTATCCCTGACCGCCTGAGGTGTATCTAATCAACACATGACTTGGTGTACTGTATGTAGCCTGCAATAGGTTATCCCTGACCGCCTGGAAGTGTATCTAATCAACACATGACTTGGTGTACTGTATGTAGCCTGCAATAGGTTATCCCTGACCGCCTGAGGTGTATCTAATCAACACATGACTTGGTGTACTGTATTTAGCCTGCAATAGGTTATCCCTGACCGCCTGAGGGGTATCTAATCAACACATGACTTGGTGTACTGTATGTAGCCTGCAATAGGTTATCCCTGACCGCCTGGAAGTGTATCTAATCAACACATGACTTGGTGTACTGTATGTAGCCTGCAATAGGTTATCCCTGACCGCCTGGAAGTGTATCTAATCAACACATGACTTGGTGTTCTGTATGTAGCCTGCAATAGGTTATCCCTGACCGCCTGAGGTGTATCTAATCAACACATGACTTGGTGTACTGTATGCAGCCTGCAATAGGTTATCCCTGACCGCCTGGATGTGTATCTAATCAACACATGACTTGGTGTACTGTATGCAGCCTGCAATAGGTTATCCCTGACCGCCTGGAAGTGTATCTAATCAACATATGACTTGGTGTACTGTATGTAGCCTGCAATAGGTTATCTCTGACCGCCTGAGGTGTATCTAATCAACACATGACTTGGTGTACTGTATGTAGCCTGCAATAGGTTATCCCTGACCGCCTGGAAGTGTATCTAATCAACGCATGACTTGGTGTACTGTATGTAGCCTGCAATAGGTTATCCCTGACCGCCTGAGGTGTATCTAATCAACATATGACTTGATGTACTGTATGTAGCCTGCAATAGGTTATCCCTGACCGCCTGGATGTGTATCTATTCAACACATGACTTGGTGTACTGTATGTAGCCTGCAATAGGTTATCCCTGACCGCCTGGAAGTGTATCTAATCAACGCATGACTTGGTGTACTGTATGTAGCCTGCAATAGGTTATCCCTGACCGCCTGGAAGTGTATCTAATCAACTCATGACTTGGTGTACTGTATGAAGCCTGCAATAGGTTATCCCTGACCGCCTGAGGTGTATCTAATCAACATATGACTTGGTGTACTGTATGAAGCCTGCAATAGGTTATCCCTGACCGCCTGGAAGTGTATCTATTCAACTCATGACTTGGTGTACTGTATGTAGCCTGCAATAGGTTATCCCTGACCGCCTGGAAGTGTATCTAATCAACTCATGACTTGGTGTACTGTATGTAGCCTGCAATAGGTTATCCCTGACCGCCTGAGGTGTATCTAATCAACGCATGACTTGGTGTACTGTATGTAGCCTGCAATAGGTTATCCCTGACCGCCTGGAAGTGTATCTAATCAACACGAGACTTGGTGTTCTGTCTGTAGCCTGCAATAGGTTATCCCTGACCGCCTGAGGTGTATCTAATCAACTCATGACTTGGTGTACTGTATGTAGCCTGCAATAGGTTATCCCTGACCGCCTGGAAGTGTATCTAATCAACTCATGACTTGGTGTACTGTATGTAGCCTGCAATAGGTTATCCCTGACCGCCTGAGGTGTATCTAATCAACGCATGACTTGGTGTACTGTATGTAGCCTGCAATAGGTTATCCCTGACCGCCTGGAAGTGTATCTAATCAACGCATGACTTGGTGTACTGTATGTAGCCTGCAATAGGTTATCCCCGACCGCCTGGAAGTGTATCTAATCAACGCATGACGCATTGTATCCCAATCGTTGTATGTGGAAGGAGAGTGTTACCTCCAAATTCCATTAAAAACAGATCTTAGTCCTCGCTATCGCTAAACAAAGATCTGAGGACATCCCAATCAGAGCGTCGCTTACCAGATCATGAATGTGACAGGCGGAATGTGTTTTCTAATTATGCAATCTCGAAATATTTAACAAAGGGTATTCCGAACGACATTTACGGGTTTTATAATTACATCCTTACAATCTAGGTCATCTGTAAGCCATTCCAGAATGTTCTTTTTATCAGTTTTAAAATTTTCAATGGAGAATACCTCAAAACATGTTTCGAAGCGAAGTCGCTAGTTTGTAACTATTGTCGTTAAGCTCGAGAAAGCTACCTTCTGATTGGCTAATGTCGATTTCTTGTCGATTTTCTTAAAGTTCGCGAAAGGTCGTTCTGACATGACCCGTAATGCAATGTCCTCAGATCTTTGAAAGTGAAGATGATGAAGGTGATGATGATAATGATGATGTTGGTGATGATGATGATGATGATGATGATGACAACGCTGTTGCTGTCCCAGGAGTATTACGACGACCAGATGAAGCTGGTGAAGTATGTGTACACTCCCGCCGTGTCCAGCAGCAACGGTCAGTTCGGATATCAGCCTCTAACAGAAATTCATGATTTCAATACCGGTACGTTCAACCGCTTCCCTGCACCCTACCTAAGTGAGTCTGTTTAGCCATATTCCGGTAATGTTACGGCGGGGAATCAATCTGAGCCCTCGGCGTTACATGCGAAGGTTTTAACCACTGCTCCTTGACGAATTAACAGGGTTGGGCATATCGCTTCTTTGAGCAGCAGTTTAGTCATAATAATTATCACGACGTGTTAGCTTCATGTGGGACGAAGTGATGTTTGTCAACCTCTTCGATGAACCACACCTGCAGTGGAATAGTGCTGACAAACCCAGACATATCATCAGCACGCCCATTACCATAGGCTTATTAAAATCGTAACATCTTATTATTCGTGTTACTTGTAACAGCCCATATTCTCGAAACAAAGATCTTTTTTGTCAAATGGTAACTGGGGCGGTGGGGTAGCCTAGTGGTCAAACCATGGGCCTCGGTTCGATTCGCCGAAATATGCCTCGAATATTGATAAAAACGACGTATAACAGGCTAGGCAGAACGTATCCCTTCTGTCTGACAACAACCCTTGTGTTCTGTTAAGCATGACGTGTCCCCTTCTGTCTGACCACGCCCCTTGTGTTCTGTTAAGCATGACGTATCCCCTTCTGTCTGACCACGCCCCTTGTGTTCTGTTAGGCATGACGTATCTCCTTCTGTCTGACCACGCCCCTTGTGTTCTGTTAGGCATGACGTATCCCCTTCTGTCTGACCACGCCACCTTTGTTCTGTTAGGCATGACGTATCCCTTCTGTCTGACCCCGCCCCTTGTGTTATGTTAGGCATGACGTATCCCGTTCTGTCTGACCACGCCCCTTGTGTTCTGTAAGGCAGAACGTATCCCCTTCTGTCTGACCACGCCACCTTTGTTCTGTTAGGCATGACGTATCCCTTCTGTCTGACCACGCCCCTTGTGTTATGTTAGGCATGACGTATCCCTTCTGTCTGACCACGCCCCTTGTGTTCCGTTAGGCAGAACGTATCCCCTTCTGTCTGACCACGCCACCTTTGTTCTGTTAGGCATGACGTATCCCTTCTGTCTGACCACGCCCCTTGTGTTATGTTAGGCATGACGTATCCCGTTCTGTCTGACCACGCCCCTTGTGTTCTGTTAGGCATGACGTGACCCCTTCTGTCTGACCACGCCCCTTGTGTTCTGTTAGGCATGGCGTATCCCCTTCTGTCTGACCACGCCCCTTGTGTTCTGTTAGGCATGGCGTATCCCCTTCTGTCTGACCACAACCCTTGTGTTCTGTTAGGCATGACGTATCCCTTCTGTCTGACCACGCCCCTTGTGTTATGTTAGGCATGACGTATCCCGTTCTGTCTGACCACGCCCCTTGTGTTCTGTTAGGCATGACGTGACCCCTTCTGTCTGACCACGCCCCTTGTGTTCTGTTAGGCATGGCGTATCCCCTTCTGTCTGACCACGCCCCTTGTGTTCTGTTAGGCATGGCGTATCCCCTTCTGTCTGACCACAACCCTTGTGTTCTGTTAGGCATGGCGTATCCCCTTCTGTCTGACCACCCCCCTTGTGTTCCGTTAGGCATGGCGTATCCCCTTCTGTCTGACCACGCCCCTTGTGTTCTGCTAAGCATGACGTATATCCTTCTGTCTGACCACGCCCCTTGTGTTCTGTTAGGCATGGCGTATATAACTGACAACCAGCGAGGAAACTGTACGTGGCAGCTGATCGAGCAAAACAACTTTGACGACGTCGACAGCGACCCCTTCAACGTGCGCATCAAGACGGCCAAGCAGTTCTTTCATATGGACGCATCGGGTGTGACATACGAGGGTATTGTAAGTATTGTTTTGTAGTAGCTTGTTGGCTGTTCAACACCGGCTATATGACGGCGATCGAGTCTGGACCATACAAACCAGTGATTGACATCATGATAGTCGATCTTTGCAATTGGCATACGGTGACATGCATCAACCAAGTCAGCGAGCCAGGCCACCCGATCCCGTTAAGTCGCCTCCTACGACAAGCATTGGTTACTGAACACCAATTCTAACCCGGGTTTGCACGGCTGATAAATAGTTGGTCTTCGTACTGGTGATGAGGTGACGTCGGGTTAAACGTCGTTGTCAAGATCACTGCACTCATATGGCGAAGTGCATGCACATTTGTGTGTGTGGCTGCTTGTACAAAGTACTAATCCCACCAATGTCGGTTTTATTTCGTTATCCCATTGACATACCATATTAGAGTTTAACATGGTTACCCAAACTCAAACCCATAATACTGGCCCTGAGCTGACCAGTCCTTGTTTCATGTCCTCAAGATGTGCATTTTGTTGTAGAAACTCTCCCGGGGCATCAGAACAGACACATATGTCGGTCGTCGAACTGATTTCCCTGCTGCAAACCCCCTGAACTCGACGTTCGAGTGGCATTTCCTCACGGTAGGTGTATAAATTCGCCGGGGTCTATGTTTGAGCCCCTGGAACAGCATGTTGTTTATACCACAGCGTTAAAGATTTACTGAATTGGAAACCAGTCATCGTTGTGAGGAAACACAGGAACATAAACCCTTATCGGTGTTACTCTCGCATTCGAAACCCGGAACTGCCATAGAGAACAGATGTGCTGAGGGAGTTGGATCACAAGGTCACTCTAGCAGTTAGAACATGATTAGCCCCGATGTCAAGATTGTACTGCCCTCAAACATGGGGTACGTTCCAAAGCGATTAACTCGCTTACTCTAAGCGATTCGTGGCTTGCAACGCGCCCCCGGTTTTCATCCTTGGCGTGCCCCTCCGTGACATATGTTTACTATGTCAAAAAGGTAGGGGACAGTGTGAATCATCAAGACATGTCTTCTGATCTATATGGTATTGGCATATTGAAATGATCCGATCATATCTGCTGGAGCGAAGGCGATAAGATCTGATGGGTTCTAATGATTGGTGTGAAGAGATGGTGGCGCACTAGGTCGTTTAAAAGGTCAGGGGTAAAATTCAAATTTAAACTTTGTAGCCAACGTCATTGATATCGGACAAAACCACCTCTGTTGTCCAGACGTACACGAATTCTTCGAGTCCTGCTTCTAACGAGTGTCGACCAATGTCAGCTTCTCACATGTAGCTCCTTTCGTGAGTGCGAGCAAAACCAATTTCATCAGAATGGTGGGTGGATTTTGACGTTGACGTACGCGTCTGTCAGTGATAGTACTGACCTGTGGCTCTGCCATGAACAACGTGGAGCACCAAACATTGTGATACAACTCCGTTCCATGACGGACCCATCCCCAAAACGATCATGCTGTACGACGTTAACGCCCATAAAGCGCTCATCACGACGTCACCAAACTCGACTCTATGAGAGTGTACCGCGAATCGTCAGATGAACTGGCATTAAAACGTCGATTATCCCAGTGCTGACGTTCCCTACGCAGCTGACGCCTCTGATTCAAATGACGTGCAGGAAGTTGTGGTCTGTCACGTGGACGTCGTGCACGCGTACGAAAATGTCATCTATGCAGATGATTTCGCACCGTCTGGGCATGTACTCTTACAGCTGCCTGTTGCAACCAGTCCCTTATCTGAGATGCAGTTTGTAACCGATGTCTTAATGCCACCGTTCTGACTCATCTTGGCTGCAGTTGTTTGTCTTTGGCTTCCAGAGCGACGTCGTCCATCGACGTCATGTCTTTGTCTGGTATCAGTCCCACAATCCACCGATGACAAATCGAGAAACATGCAGCGTTTGGGCAACACTATTCGGCCGTGTGCCCACCTACAACATGCCTATGACGCGTAAACGTTCGCATAAACGCATGAACGTTGTTGCTTCCTAATGATAAAATGTGTTTGTCTTGGAACGTTTGGTTCCAATAAAACAACATGTGCATGCTCACAACCGAGTCTGAGTGATAATGGTAAATCTGGCATACCTGCTGTCCAAGGTCACGTGCTTTATGACTGTCACAATGTTGTGTTTGGGAGCTTGATTTCTTCGGAAATGTTCTTGCAACATAAATCATTTACTTTCATTGCCAGACAATGGTGTCTTTTCCTGTATTTTCACCTCAAAACAAAATATCCCCCATTTCTTTTGCGATGTATACGATAAAAAACGGCAAAATTAATAACTCCATTTGTAATTTGTAAACTGCCGGGCCAAAGAAAGCATACACTTGAAAATTATAAATGACCAAAATATTTAAAACCTTCTCAAAACGTACCGCGGCTGGAAACAGTCGCCGAAACACTGCACACTTGGATACGCCAAAACACAACCATGAAACCCGCAACAAATTCTTCGCCATCGAATACCAATTTCTTGTCTATTTCATTTGTAGCCACCATTAAAACTGGTGAAAACTCTTGCCCAGCAGTTTATATTTAAACGGGCCTCATTCAATCAGTGTGGGTGAACATTACTTGAACTTTTTATGAATGTGCCATTCAGATTTTAAGATCTGGTTGAATTGAAGGATATATTTCTTCTTGTATATGTTCACCCGAGTAGACGCCACGTCTTGTATTGTGTCTTCGTTGTAGAGTGACTACCAGACCATGCAGCAGAAGACCGCGATGTATACTGGCGGCGTGCCAGTGCAGCTCCGCTTATCCATGCCTTCGGTAGGTCAATCTACGTACCTACGTGTAGTAAATATATGTGCAGTCAATCTACGTATCTAAGTGCAGTAAATATATGTAGGTCAATCTACGTACCTACGTATAGTAAACATATGTAGAGTCAATCTACGTATCTAAGTGCAGAAATATATGTAGGACAAACTACCTAAGTGCTATAAATAAATGTACAGTCAATCTACGTGTCTATATATACAGTCAATCTTCGTATCTATATGCACAGACAATCCACGTATCTATATGTACAGTCAATCTTCGTATCTATATGCACAGACAATCCACGTATCTATAAGTACAGACAATCTACGAATCTATAAGTTTAGACAATGTGCGTATCCATAAGTTCAGACAATATGCGTATGTATACATCTATAAGAACAGATCATCAACGCATCTAAAAGTTCAGACAATCTACGTGTCTGTATGCAGTATATTGTATATAGATATACTTATTCTTGCTTTGTTCCAGTACGACATCGACTACACGTACAACATCTACAACTACGTGCAATCGAAGGCCAACCTGCTCAACTGGGACATCAGTGCTTGTTACGGTAACCTGGATCGGAGGAAGTTCGACTTCACTGTCCCAGGTGAGGTGTTTCCTGTATGTGTACGCATGCGCACTGACGTCCTTGTTGTGCGGGGCTCATCTTAGTGCCGAAATTCGCTGTGTAGTATTGTGTCATTTGAACAGGTCTTCAGCAACCAATGCCTGTCGTAATAGGCGACTAACTTGGTTCAAATGTGCAGATCGATGCTCATGTTTTCAATAACTAGATTGTCTGGTCCAGATTCGATTACTAGTATGTACAGACGGCCGTCATATAGCCAGTGCGGCGTTAAACAACAAACAACAAACAAACAAACAAACGTCTGGGCGTGCCAGAATCATGTGGTCGTGTCGAATTACAGATTGTCCCTGGTTTTCCTTCATTTGTACGTGTTATGATAACACCACACCTGGTTTCACGCACGTGGTGGCTGTCTAACATCTGCACTCACTCAATCCTTTCTTGATTTGTACAAACTGAATACCGCACAGAACAGATGATGCGGACCAAGTCACGCTCTGTATCTAGACGTACCCCTCACGTTCAGGTGATGCAAGTGCTAGACCATTCAGGTGTCACCCAGGAGCACGGGTATGGAGCTGACAAATCTAAAAGATGTTAACCGGGATTCGAACCCACGACCATAGTTTTTTCGCCTCGCAAGAGGGACGGGACCCTGCACAGTCAACTGTGTCGTCATGGTTATCGGGACCACCCATTGTGCTTGATAAGGGGACCAAGCCCCACTGACCATGGCTGTTCCGGCCGCCCGGCGAACAAAGTCGCCGCAGTTTCGGTCCTAAAGTGGGAAGCTGTGCAAAATGCGCTGGAGTCCGTATTGGATCTAAGCCTATAGACCCGAGGTTTGTGCTGTATGTGAAACTGGAGAATTATACTCATAAGGACTTTTATTTTTTATCTGTCGGTTCACAAAGTGTTGGTCTAAAATACAATGTAGGTGGTCGTAATGTTTTGTTTTTTAAAAACAACTAAAATATTTTCACCGTTACTGATGAAAAAACGTTTTAACATTGCTGGTTGCCGAAAGACAATATTTTATACGTCTTATTCACCATTTCTGACGAACAGCGGTGATGAAATATAGTGTGTTTTATATTTCACCTAATTGAGAGACAGAATCGGAAAGATATTTTTCTAATTTCAATTTTTTTCTTCATTCGGTAATTAATATATAAGGCCTAAAATTAGCTTCCTCCTCTCCAAGCCGTCGGGAACGTCGGGAACGTCAAAGTGCAGGTGCCCGTGACGATGTAAATAATTACTAGGTATTTGAGTTAGACAGTAGTAGCGCAACGATCGCTTTGTGAAACGGGCCCACATTTGCACCGACTATGATCCATCCTCTTTCAGCAGCATGGTCACTTCGTGTCAAAGGGGAAACGTCCCGACCAGTTGATGTCATAGGCACTCCTTCCATGAATTACGCCGGGAGTTACTGTAGACTGCAGCCGTTGATTTATCCACTCACTCAGTAACTGACTTACTTCCGTTCCAGGAACCTATGCCAACCATATTGACGACAACCGAGAACTATTCCGCTATTCCATCTTGCTGTCCCTGATGTCCTATCTCGCCGTTTCCCCACTCAGAATTGCACATCTCAGGGTCAGTATAACACACATGGGAGGCATGTTCTTTTGGTAGTTTTCAGAGTTCAAATGACCTTTTCTTACAGGACACTGGCGTCGTACCAGACATTGATTGCCGGACAAAGAAGCATATACCTGTGTTTGATAGTTACTAAAACAAGAAATTGTTTTTCGATGATGACGTATTTGATACGGGAATCATATTTGTGCTTTGGACCTCGGGTTTGATTTTTTCGGCGACTATTTTCAGCCAAGTAACGTTTAATAACATTCGTAGTTTTGTCGTCAAATCCAGATTTCAAGTGTAAACTGTCTTCTGCCCGGTAGTGTAGCTTATATGGCGTTCGCTTACAGGACACAAGTATCGAAATACAGACATATTTACAATACTTACCAATAGATTTGTAATACGTTTTTTTGCCAACAAGTGAGATGTAATTTTCCATACGAGTAGACAAAGTTTCCGATATGTATGTTTGAATTCTGAAACCACAATCAATATCGTCCACACAAGAAAATGGTTCAGCGATTTTGTATTGATGTAGTGAGTGAGTGAGTGAGTGAGTGAGTGAGTGAGTGAGTGAGTGAGTGAGTTTGGTTTAATGCCGCCTTGAACATTATTCCAGTTACATCACGGCGTGTCAGCTTAGTGTGGGAGGAAAGCCCGAAGTGATGCAGGTCTTAGACGTTTACCACTTTGGTGAAACCACCGAGCAGGTAGATGCCAAAACTCTCTGGTGCCCGTAGGCAGCTCGGGTTGTATACTCCCAAGGGAGTTAAGAATAATATTTGGAATGCAAACGGATCCACTGGTCGGGGAACTAGTAGTAGTACATGGATACTTGCGATAATAATAATAATAATATTAATAATAATAATAATAATAATAATAATAATTATAATAATAATAACGAAGTCAAAGCCACAAATACGTATGCTGTGCCCGTCTTTTCGTATTATTTTGGTGTTGTTGATTGGACGAAACAAGAAATTCAGGGAACTGACACCCTCACACGAAGAATCATGTCAGACAATTGATAAGACTCATGATGAAAACAAGGCATTCCACAGTTTTCTTAAACCAGCCAATGATGTGGGACATAATCTCAATGTCGGTGTTGATTTTGTTGATGGTTCTGTACCTGCTGGACGGTACGGAAATGAGTGTCACCCAAGCGAAGAGCCATATCAAGTCGGCCCACACTCAGTTTTTCAAGGAAAGGCTATCTGAACGACCACTGCATCGAGTTTATGTGCAGTGTGTTGAGAAGATCAGCAATCATGCAGAGTCATTTGCTTGGATGAAGTCGTCTGGCCTGAAAAGTGAAACAGAAGGCTTTCTGTTTGCTGCTCAGGACCAGTCACTTCCCACGCGAAACCGTCAATGTGTGATATTACATCAAAATGTAAATATGAAATGTAGATTATGCAATGAATTTAATGAGACTGCCCAACACATTGTCAGTGGATGCCCAGCTTTGGCACAAACACAGTACCAAGTTGTCCGACTCACAATTGTTCTCGGTGCCTTAGGTTTGGTACCTCCCAATCTGTTGACTGACATTGGCAGAGTACCCGGGTTTGCTACCAGCCCTTCTGACAATCTGGGTAATGCAGAAGGCGGCAGTGTTGGGGAGCCTTCACATTCTCCGAACAGTTGAACTGGGTGGGTTTGACTTGGCAGCGCTTCCTGGGAGAAGTCTCATTCGCTGTCTGGGCTGCGTGTAGAGGGGGCAAGGGCCCTGAGCTGATGATGAGCCTAACCAGCCTGACTGTGCCAGGATCACCCAAACCCCCTTTGCTGCATTTTTTATTTTAACCTGTAAATAATAATGATAATAATAATGATGATGATGATGATGATGATGATGATGATGATGATGATGATGATGATGATATACTCTCATTCAGTGTGCAACAGCTCGGGGACGTGTCACTCAAATTCATACCTACTTCTTGCTTTTTTCGTAAATGGTTTGCCAAATCTATGAAACCAATATTGCAGCGCTCGTTTGAGATTGAAAGTCGTATGTCCAGGACAATGAGTGCAGTCGCCTTAGGACATCTTAGCGAAGTCCCCCGTGGGAATTCCGGGTTAGAGTTGGTCCCCAGCACCCTATGCCAGTCGTAAGAGGCCCCTTAATGGATCGGGTGGTAAGGCTAGGTGATGATTGATAGTTCCTAAATAGGTTTGTGATCAAATTGGAATTTGTGTTTAGATTCAGCAACACATACCATGATACCACGGATAGTCAGGAGTAGTCAAGTGGTTAAAGCGTTGGCTACTCACGCTGAAGGCCCGGGTTCGCTTCACCAATTGGGTTCAATATGTGAAGTCCATATCCTGTGTTCCCCGCAACAATATTGCTGGATTATTGCTTAAGGTTGCGCCAAACCCACCTCCCTAACTCACCCACGGATAAGTCATGCTTAAGACATGAAATAAACTCTTGTTATTCCAGCTTGTGTTTCAAACTGATGTGCACATTCGGTTTGAGCTGCTGGACATCGCGCCAATGATCGGTAACGTCAAAACCAACGTGACGGAGACTCCCCTGAAGCTGGCTGCTAGCCTCCTCGTTGACGCCATCAACACCAACAAGTTCGTCATCCCTCTCGACTACGACAAACTGTCGGACGTGAGTACATTTCAAGGCTGTCGTGGGGATTGCGGGCTAGACCTTGGGCCAGGTCCCAAGTAATCTAAACTGCCATTGCAAAATAAGATATACATACACCCATGCCTGATGGTTGCTGAGATGAAACAAGCAAGAAATGGTTATTCGATGATGTATTTGATACGGGTATCATGGGCGATATTACATGCATCATATCAATGAGTATCTCACAACAGGTGACGTCCACGTGACTTCAGAGAGAACGTTTGGTCGCAATGTTACAGTACACTGTCATCAACGTTTTAAGGTGTATTTTCTGGGGCCACGGGTGGCCAAGTCGTCTAAGGCACCGCGATTCGCTATGCAAAGTTGCGACCCTTAGCACGCCGGAAGCCTATGATTGTGGGTTCGAATCCCGATTGTTTCTAGGTTTGCCAGCACTATACCCGTGCTCGTGGATTTCACCGAAGTGGTAAATGTCCTGCCTCACTTCGGGCTTTCCTCCCACATTAAGCTGACACGCCGTGATATAACTGGAATAATGTTGAGAGCGTGGTTAAACTCAACTCACTCACTCACAAAGGTGAATTTTCAAGTGTATTCTTTCTTTTTCCCGACAGTATACACATTCGGCTTTTCGTGTAACTTGAGACGCTGGATAGCCTTGTGGTTCTCAAGTAACTAACACTCCCGTGAACATCCGGGTTAGAAGAGGTTTTCAACAACTCATGCTTGACGTTAGAGGCGTCTAAAGAGCTCGCTGACTTGGTTGATGCATGTCATCGTATCACAATTACGTAGATCGATGCTCATGATGTTCATCACTGCATTGTCAGGTCCAGAATCGATTATTTATAGCTTAAAGCTGGTATATTGCTTGGTACGGCGTTAAACAACAACACAAGATATAGCTATTTACAATTCCCTCTGTTGAAAGTTCGATTCCCCACATGAGCCATCGCAGTGATGTCGCTGAAAACGTGCGTAGAATAAAAAGCACTCGCTCACTGTGCTGTGTTGGGATTCAAACCGGATATCTGATTGGCTAGAGAATACCTTCACCACTGTGCCACACCTTTCGGTTGGCGATTCACAAGGCAATGGTTTGATATACAGACATAGAGTCTCGGAACATTTTTACTCGCTGCTTTTAAACATCATGAGCAGAACGTCAACTCACGTCGTCTTTTTGCGGGAATATTGTAAACAGGGGCAGCAAAGTGTACAGAGTTGCGTCCCTTTGCCATTCCAGGATCCTTTAGTCCAGGTTCGAATTATAATGATCCTTGTTTTGTCAGCAGCATCCCCATCTGTGTAGTAAATAGGTACGACCCGGATCTCATTCTGTCTTCCCCAACCAAGCTGACACGACCTGATACAACGGAAGCACTCTTCATATAGCCCAAACCTCGTGATATAATACCCCGTTATTAACTGGGCGTGACCCTGTTCCTTGCAGGTCTCCAGTGTTGTGGCCACGCCCAATTCCATCCGAGAGTACACCTATGAGGATGAGTTGGCGCCTCCCGTTGAGGAATATACCCCGGGTACGTACATACTTCACCCCTTGCTGTGTAATCTGTGCAGCGCCATCGAGTGAACGTGGTAACTCACAGAGTAACTGTCCACACCATAAGCTCCTTACATTTAAAGGGAGATCATCTATTTGTCCTATGAATAAGCTGAAACAAGGTACCTGTTGTATAAGAAAGATACACAATAATACTATATAAGTGTACCAGGTAAATTTGATCCAGAGTTTTGAAGTTTGAAGTTTTGCAGCATACCTACCTATTGATGCAAGTACCTATACTTTCATAAAGCGCACATGTGTGACCCAGAAGATAAAACAAATTGTAATTTGCGTGTGGAATCAGGAATGAGAATATGGCACGTTTCAGTTTAAATATTCATATCATATTATACAGAAAACAAACAAATCGCGAAAACAAAACTCGTGATTTGATTTACAACAATGATTTCCTGTGTGTGCATGCTACACTGTATCTGATTGTTTTTGTCGGGTGGGGACAGGTTAGCCTGTATCTGATTGTATGTGTCCGATATGGGCAGGTTACACTGAATCTGATTGTATGTGTCCGGTATGGGCAGGTTACACCATATCTGATTGCATGTGTCCGGTATGGACAGGTTATACTGTATCTGATTGTATGTGCCCGGTATGTGCAGGTTACACTGAATCTGATTGTATATGTCCGGTATGCGCAGGTTACACTGTATCTGGTTGTATATGTCCGGTATGGACAGGTTACACTGTATCTGATTGTATGTGTCCGGTATGGACAGGTTACACCATATCTGATTGCATGTGTCCGGTATGGACAGGTTACACTGTATCTGATTGTATGTGCCCGGTATGTGCAGGTTACACAGAATCTGATTGTATATATCCGGTATGCGCAGGTTACACTGTATCTGGTTGTATATGTCCGGTATGGACAGGTTACACTGTATCTGATTGTATGTGTCCGGTATGGACAGGTTACACTGTATCTGATTGTATGTATCCGGTATGGACAGGTTACACTGTATCTGATTGTATCTGTCCGGTATGGACAGGTTGCACTGGTAACTGATTGTATGTGTCCGGTATGGACAGGGTACACTGTATCTGATTGTATGTGTTCTACATATGCAGGTGCGATGGGCGGCCTGGCTATCGGAATGATAATACTTGGAGGAGGCGGAGGGGCGGGGCTATCCTATCTCTTCTTCAAGTGAGGTGAGAGCAACATGCTTTACTGACAGTCCCTTTCAACAATTCCAAGTTGTGGCACGGATGCACATCCGTCGGTGGCGCCGCAATTCGTTGTGCAGAGTTGCGTCCCTTAAAGCCTGCTAGAAACCTTGGCTTGTTCGAATCCCAGATTTGGTTTGTCAGCAGCACAGTTGTTACCGTGTGTGACGTTCGTCACTTTGCACCCACATCAAGCTGACATGCCGTGATATAACTGCCACAACTAATATGTGGAGTCTAACTCCGGTGTCAGTCGCAATGATATCCCCGTAAGCGACATTAAACAATACTCACTCATGCTCGGTTTTTTTTAGTATTCAGTAATGATTTGGTTTCATTTTATTTCAGAATATGGAGAAGTAAACGCGCTTCACAGACATGTCAGATTCTCTTCAGGTATTTCATCTTTCAAGCACCAACGTTTTCCACATTCCAAAGGTGCTAAAGTTTTCTACAATCTCACCCTAACACACCAGGTGCCCATATTTGAATGGGAGGACAGCAGGGTAGACCTTTCGAGAAGCTCGCGTTCATTGGGTGAATGTGTCCAAATTAGAAATGCAATAATATGTCAGTACATCGCTTCACGGTGCAAATTCTACCCAACTCAATACTCGGTACATGTATGTTAATATTGTAAAAGAATAAACATCTCTTATTGGAGTTTTCTTCGTTTTTCTTCCCATACGGGAATAGTTTGGTGTCGGATGAAAATATTATTTCAGTTTTCAGACCCGTAAAGTCGAGTTTGTGAGATGGTAAGCTCGGAGGCGGGCCCCGCAATCTCGGAAGCTCAGCATCGCTATCTTTGTCAAGCTTTGTAAATCTTGCTTTGCCAAATGAAAACTCAATAGTTCGTAATTGCTCTTGTGTTCCAGGGGGCGGTCGGGTAGCCTAGTGGTTAAAGCGATCGCTCGTCACGCCGAAGACCCGGGTTCGATTCCCGACATGGGTACAATGTGTGAAGCCCATTTCTGGTGTCCCCCGCCGTGATATTGCTGGAATATTGCAAAAAGCGGCGTAAAACAATACTCACTCACTCACTCACTTGTGTTCCAGCTGATTTATGTAAAGGGAACCGGAACTGACACGATGTCGACATTAGCCAATCAGAAGGCAACTTTCTCGTGCTTTACGGGACTAATTGCAATTGGCGACTACGCTTCGAAACATATTTTGACCAATTCTCGAATAAAACTTTGAAACCTAAACAAAACAACATTCTGGAGTGGCTAATAGATGGTCTAGATTGTATGGATTCAGTCGTTAAGCCCGTAACTATCGTTTGGAATACCCCGTGTTAAAGTTTTCGAGGCTGCATGATTAGAAATCACATTCCGACTGTTAGTTTCATGATCTGGTAAGCGACGCCCTGATTGGTCGGATGAAAGGTCGTTCTGACGTCTCCCCTAATGGGATGTCCTCAGATCTTTGTTAAGCGGTAGCCAGATTCTGATCTGATTCAATGAGATTGACAGATTAAACCTAGAAACTTAATCGGGGGGAACCGGGATCCGGACGTACAATCATAGGTTTCCGGCGTGCCAAAGGGACGCAACTCTGCACAGCGAATCGCGGCTCCCAAGATGACTGGGTCACGCGTGCTACCAGATATCAAGAGAGGAGAGCGTCCCCTATAATCAGTTGATGCGCGGGTGTGGCACTGTCATCAGCAATATGATAACTCAGCCTACACCAGTGCACACCCGCCGATATTCCGGGTAGGAATAGAGGTCAAACGATGCGTGTCCCCAAACATAGTATTACCTTTATAATTTTCAAACCCAGTGGAATTTCCAGTTGCAACTGGTCTCCAGGTACTGATGCAGGCACAGACTCTCCGTCAAGAGCAGTGCTGGCGACACATCTCATTGAAATTAGATTCAAATCCGATTGAAATCGACTATATGTTTTTTTGCTTGTTTAACGCCGCACTCAGCAATATTCCAGTTATAATTATGACGGTCGCCTGTAAATAATCGAGTCTTGACAGTGACATCTTCAGCATCGATCCACGCATTTGAGATACGATGACATGCATCAAACCAAGTCAGCGAACCCGCAAGCATGGGTTGCTGAGGACCTGTTCTACCCCGGATCTTCACGGGTCTCACGGCAAGCATGGGTTGCTGAGGACCTGTTCTACCCCGTATCTTCACGGGTCTCACGGCAAGCATGGGTTGCTGAGGACCTGTTCTACCCCGGATCTTCACGGGTCTCACGGCAAGCATGGGTTGCTGAGGACCTGTTCTACCCCGTATCTTCACGGGTCTCACGGCAAGCATGGGTTGCTGAGGACCTGTTCTACCCCGGATCTTCACGGGTAGTTTCGGGGATTAAATTGATTGTGTGTCATCGCAACGCAATTGCTTGGATCGATGCTCATGATGTAAATCATGGGACTGTCTGGTCCAGACACGATTGTTTATTTATAAGCCGCCATCCTATGGGTGGAATATTGAGTGTTGTGTTAAACAAACAAACATTAATACGAATAGATCTGACAAGAGTGATATGCCAAACTTGCTTTTATTCAGACTTGCTGGAAAAGGACACGTGAGCCTGCTAAGACATGATAACATGCAATGGTCTCAATGATCATGTTGTTCTCACACTTGTACGAAGTGATCCCTTGGACTCCAGATTCTCTTCATACAATTTTATTTCTAATACAATGAATAATATATAGACGGTACAGATACACACGAAGCGAAGGTAATGATATATCTAATATTTAATGTCATTCTTAACATAATCGATGTTTCGACATAATTATACTCAATGAAATGGTTTCCAAAGCCAAGTATGAAAACAATGTTTGATTTAATCGCCAATTTGTCAAGTGACAGCCATGTTGTTCCACAGAAACGCCTACACATATGAAAACCCATGTTCACATATATTGTGGACGTAGCATATAGTTTGCTCAGCAAATAATTCTATCTAAGTGACCTCATTTGTATATTTATCGGATCGTGATACCAAGTTTATCATATGCCTCGCTCGCTTGATAACACTATCCATTATATGATAAACAGAAAGATCTCTGAACTTTGATGTACAGAATAGACACCGGAGGTTGCTATAGCTCCGGGAGTAGATACAGCGACAGAGCTTTAGAGAGTGATGATGTGAACATGAATATTGTTTATTATCCTCTGAAATCACAAAGAAAGTTACGAGTACCCTGTTGATCAACTTTCAACACAGAAGGGAAAATGACATATGAGCGGTCCGACAGTTGGACATATGAAAGGGGTGCAGGGCCAACACAGGGATGGACACACTTGACTCCTTCCCCTACCTGTAAACAGACAATGGATGTCACATGAGTGAGTGAGTGAGTGAGTGAGTGAGTGAGTGAGTGAGTGAGTGAGTGAGTGAGTGAGTGAGTGAGTGAGAGTGAGTGAGTGAGTGAGTGAGTGAGTGAGTGAGTGAGTGAGTGAGTGAGTGAGTGAAGCCCGATCTGAACATTACTTCAGTTACATCACGTCAGCGTCACGTTACGTGTCAGCTTCATCTGGGAGGAACGTCTGGCGGGGGTCACACGTATAACACCTCGGGGTAAACAACAGTTGGGTGTGGTATTTGATTGTTTGATTGTGTGTTGATTTACGCCGCACTCAGCAATATTCCAGCTATATGACAGCGGTCTGTAAATAATCGAGTCTGGACCAGACAATCAAGTGATTGACATCATGAGCATCTATCTACGCCATTGGGATACGATGACATGCATCAACCATGTCAGCGAGTCTGACCACCAGAGGTCGCCTGACCACCGTTAGTCGCCTCTTACGGCAAGCATGGGTTGCTGAAGACCTCTTCTACCCCGGATCTTTACGGGTCTTGGTGTGTATATTGATAAACCAAAGAAGCTGGATTGGGGAGGATTTCAATTACATACTGTTGAAGGAGGCGTTAAACCCAACTCACTCAATTCCTGATGCCCTACAAAAGGGGAACAGCTCATTGCAGATGATGTAGGTTAGAGCATGTCCCGGGTGTGCGAACACAACTCATTCACTCACACAATATATTATTGAACACGTGCAAGCACGTCGCAATATAAGTGCAATATTCTTAGACGCTTCGTTAATCCCTTTTGAACATCACCTCACCTAGCTTCAGCCTTCACCAAGGACACTTCCGTTTTCCATTGAGAATCTCAGTGTTGTATGTGCGTGTACAGGCGAGATGGCTTCGTGCGCTTTGGGGGACGGTCGGGTAGCCTAGTGGTTAAAGCGTTCGCTAGTCACGCTGACGACCCCGGTTCGATTCCCCACATGGGCCCACTACGTGAAGCACATTTCCGGTGTTCCCCGGCGTGATATTGCTAGAATATTGCTTAAAGCAGCGTAAAACCATACTCACTCACTCACTCACTCATGCGCTTTGGGCAAGTACGCTATGATTTCTGCTATAGATTACCTTATTTGAAGAAAAAGTAGGACCCGGCTCCACCACAAAGCACCCCAAGTAGAACCATGCCAAACCCCAGTCCACCCATAGCACCTGAGAACAAACAGTCAGACGCGTATTGAAGTAAGGATTTGTTTGTTGCTTTTGTTGTTTAACGCCGCAAACAGCAAAAATAACCAAGTCTGGACCAGACAATCCAGTGATTAACGTCAAGAGCACCGATCTACGCCATTGGAATACGATGAAGTGCATCAACCAAGTCAGCGAGACTGACCACCCGGTCCCGTTAGTCGCCTCTTACGACAAGCATGGGCCGATGAAGTCAGTTTTATCCCGGATCTTCACGATGATGAAGAAGTACCGAGCGAATTACTGTGGGTTGGAGTGATAAAAGCTAACAAATGGATAAAATAAGAATGTTTTTTTGGATGGTGAAGTATTTGATTCGGGTACCATAGCTTAACCTTAAGTTTGCATTGTTTCGGTGCTTAGTGACGTTTTGATAACGTTTGTTATGTTTTGGTCAAATCTTTTTTCAAGGGTATTTCCTTTTCCCCGTCAGTTTAGAAGTTGGCTCAACTGTGACCAGAAACCCAAGATGGGGGTTATAAAACAGACATATACAGACTGCAAGAAATGCATAACGGAAAATGATGTTTGCTCTTTTTAACAAATGTACAAATTCGGCAGTGACTGTAAGTAAAGTGTCCGGTATATACTGATGAAAATAAATAACGGAACGGAGAGTGAATTAGTGTTCGTTATTTCGAAAGAATGTAAAACGTTGACGGTGAATATCGTTATCGTTTGTGTTTTGGGGGATAATATTGTTCGCAACAAATAACTGACCAAAACGTTGAATGGCATTTTACGGGAACCGTTTTAACCAATGTGAGAACTCAGATGTGTAAAGTGGTAACGTGTGGTTCGCTGTTTATCCTTGACAACATACAGTCTGTGTGTTCCGATGTTCATATCACGTGACATGGAAAAGTAAATGTGATAAATCACGCTTACTGTTACTTGCTATTACTTGTTATTACTTATCATTACTTGTGATTACTTGTTATTACTTGCTATGACTTGTAATTACTTGTTATTACTTGTTATTACTTGCTATTACTTGTTATTACTTGCTATTACTTGTTATTACTTGCTATTACTTGTAATTACTTGCTATTACTTGTTATTACTTATCATCACTTGTGATTACTTATAATTACTTGTTATTACTTGCTATTACTTGTTATTACTTATCATTACTTATCATTACTTGTTATTACTTGCTATTACTTGTTATTACTTGCTATTACTTGTTATTACTTGCTATTACTTGTTATTACTTGCTATTACATGCTATTACTTGCTATTACTTGCTATTACTTGCTATTACATGCTATTACTTGCTATTACTTCATATTACTTGCTTTTACTTGCTATCACTTGGTGTTACTTGTTATTACTGCCGCAATGCGTGATGTTCCTCTACATGTTTACGTCAAAGTACAGTTTTACTGCATCAGATCGATTCCTAGTCTTGACATTTACAGTTACGTCTATCAGCACAACAAACACTTGTCACGTGTGTACACCAGGCGTGGGGGGTCCCCTACCGTCGCTGTAGCCTCCGCCCTGGGGGTACAGCTCATCCTCATACGTGTACTCGCGGATGGATTGGGGGGGCACCACGATGTTGATTGGCTGAAATAAAGTAAATAGTGCTTCATCACTGATACACTTATGAATTATTTGTTTATTTAACGCCGCACTCGGTAATATTACAACAAGATGACGGCGGTCTGTGAATAATCGAGTCTGGACCAGACAATCCAGTGATTAACATCAAGAGCATCGATCCACGCAATTGGGTTACGGTGACATAAATCGAAGTCAGTAGGCCTGACCACCCGATCTCGTTAGTCGCCTCTTACGAGCACAGTCGCTTCTTACGGCAAGCATGGGTTGCTGAAGACCTGCTGAAGTTCACGGATCCTAATGAATTAACGATAGCGCTAGATAGAATTAACTGACTGCATTTTGAAATCATTTTTTAAAAATTTGAATGACGTTTATAGTGGCTATGTAGCATACTTCCAACATATCATATATTACACACGCTCAATCAAAGCTATTGTATAGACTGGTGAGATTACAATTTGTGACCCCACACAGGGGCGTTTCATTCTTTGTTCACAGTGGCGGCGGCGGGGTGGCCTTGTAGTTAAAGCATTTACTCTTTACACTAAAGGTCCGTGTTCGATTCCCACCTGGCTATCAATTGTGAAGACGTTTCCTAACGTTGCCCGCTTTGATTTTGAGTACTTCATGTTCCCTTGAACAAGCGAGCACCGGACCCCGGTGAAATGGTGTGTGGGTCGTGTGTGCACGTTCAACTCAGCTATCGAGTACCTTAGATGTCCCTGGTTGAGTGGAATTTGGGTCGTGTCTTCCCCTCGAGGAGCGAGTACCTCACCTGTCCGCAACTGACTGAATTGTGGGTTGTGTGCTCATCTCAACTGCCGAATACCTTACCTGTCCCTGGTTGAGTGAATTGTGGTTCGAGTGTTCCTCTCAACTAACGAGTACCTCACCTGTCCCTGGTTGAGTGAATTGTGGTTCGAGTGTTCCTCTCAACTAACGAGTACCTCACCTGTCCCTGGTTGAGTGAATTGTGGTTCGAGTGTTCCTCTCAACTAACGAGTACCTCACCTGTCCCTGGTTGAGTGAATTGTGGTTCGAGTGTTCCTCTCAACTAACGAGTACCTCACCTGTCCCTGGTTGAGTGAATTGTGGTTCGAGTGTTCCTCTCAACTAACGAGTACCTCACCTTCTTGGTTGAGTGAATTGTGGTTCGAGTGTTCCTCTCAACTAACGAGTACTTCACCTTTCCCTGGTTGAGTGAATTGTGGTTCGAGTGTTCCTCTCAACTAACGAGTACTTCACCTTTCCCTGGTTGAGTGAATTGTGGTTCGAGTGTTCCTCTCAACTAACGAGTACCTCACCTGTCCCTGGTTGAGTGAATTGTGGTTCGAGTTTTCCTCTCAACTAACGAGTACCTCACCTGTCCCTGGTTGAGTGAATTGTGGTTCGAGTGTTCCTCTCAACTAACGAGTACCTCACCTTTCCCTGGTTGAGTGAATTGTGGTTCGAGTGTTCCTCTCAACTAACGAGTACCTCACCTTTTCCTGGTTGAGTGAATTGTGGTTCGAGTGTTCCTCTCAACTAACGAGTACCTCACCTTCTTGGTTGAGTGAATTGTGGTTCGAGTGTTCCTCTCAACTAACGAGTACTTCACCTTTCCCTGGTTGAGTGAATTGTGGTTCGAGTGTTCCTCTCAACTAACGAGTACTTCACCTTTCCCTGGTTGAGTGAATTGTGGTTCGAGTGTTCCTCTCAACTAACGAGTACCTCACCTGTCCCTGGTTGAGTGAATTGTGGTTCGAGTTTTCCTCTCAACTAACGAGTACCTCACCTGTCCCTGGTTGAGTGAATTGTGGTTCGAGTGTTCCTCTCAACTAACGAGTACCTCACCTTTCCCTGGTTGAGTGAATTGTGGTTCGAGTGTTCCTCTCAACTAACGAGTACCTCACCTTTTCCTGGTTGAGTGAATTGTGGTTCGAGTGTTCCTCTCAACTAACGAGTACCTCACCTTTTCCTGGTTGAGTGAATTGTGGTTCGAGTGTTCCTCTCAACTAACGAGTACTTCACCTGTCCCTGGTTGAGTGAATTGTGGTTCGAGTGTTCCTCTCAACTAACGAGTACCTCACCTGTCCCTGGTTGAGTGAATTGTGGTTCGAGTGTTCCTCTCAACTAACGAGTACCTCACCTGTCCCTGGTTGAGTGAATTGTGGTTCGAGTGTTCCTCTCAACTAACGAGTACCTCACCTGTCCCTGGTTGAGTGAATTGTGGTTCGAGTGTTCCTCTCAACTAACGAGTACCTCACCTGTCCCTCGTTGAGTGAATTGTGGTTCGAGTGTTCCTCTCAACTAACGAGTACCTCACCTGTCCCTGGTTGAGTGGAGTGAAGGGGATGACAAACTGTCTGTTGTTGATGGCGTTCATGAAGGAAGCGACGGCAACGTCCAGAGACACCTCGTTCGACTCATTGTGGACGTTTCCCCTCATCGGCGCGCAGTCCAGTAAGTCGAACCGGATGTGGACGTCATCCTCGAAGACAAGCTGCGGGAGAGGGAATAACTATTATTATCATACATCCGTGTCAGAGTGATGAGATCTGATTGGTCCACGTGATCTTGATAAAATTATGAGTATCCCGCCTTGGAAGGGAATATATTTCTCATAAAGGCGAGGCATGGCAGTTGGCCTTCTCATAAAGGCGAGGCATGGCAGTTGGCCTTCTCATAAAGGCGAGGCATGGCAGTTGGCCTTCTCATTAAGGCGAGGCATGGCAGTTGGCCTTCTCATAAAGGCGAGGCATGGCAGTTGGCCTTCTCATTAAGGCGAGGCATGGCAGTTGGCCTTCTCATAAAGGCGAGGCATGGCAGTTGGCCTTCTCATTAAGGCGAGGTATGGCAGTTGGCCTTCTCATAAAGGCGAGGCATGGCAGTTGGCCTTCTCATAAAGGCGAGGCATGGCAGTTGGCCTTCTCATAAAGGCGAGGCATGGCAGTTGGCTTTCTCATTAAGGCGAGGCATGGCAGTTGGTCTTCTAGACGGTATAGGGAAATGTGAATGTAACTAATTTATCCATGAACAATAATTGCCATACTAAAAGCGGCGCAAAACCATACTCACTCACTCACAGCCCTTACCTCTGTGAAGCGACAAGTCAATATGAGAATCGTGTATAGAGAGTAGCCCAGTGATGCGGTTACCGCATCTTGTATGAAAGGCACGTGCACTGACGGCAACCGGGAGATGATGACGCAATACACGACCATGACATACATTTACTCTATTTCATAACTATTGGTGCTATGTGTGATTGTGTCGGTGCCAATGATCATACTGTCCGGCTGATTAAGGGTACGACTTGTCTTTACCCTGAGCTGCGAGACTCTCAGTGGTGACGCTCCGGTGATGACGACTATCTCCTCCAGGACTGTATAGCTGAAGGTGGTTCTGTCGCGGTCAATAGTTCCAGCATAGGTACCTGTAAACAATGAACGGCGTTACACGCCCGTACACACAACATACAGAACACAACACACACACACACACACACACACACGCACACGCACACGCACACGCACGCACACACACACATATATATATATACACACATACACACACACACACATATATACACACACACATGCACACACACATATACACACACATGCACACACACTCACACACACACACACACATATATACACACACATATATACACACACATGCACACACACATACACACACGCGCACACACACACATGCACGCGCACGCACACACACACACACACACACACACACACACACACACACACACACACACACACACACACACACACACGTGCACACACACGTGCACACACACACAAACAATTTTGTACCTGCAAAATTTCTAACCTGAATTAATGACAAAGCATTCCTACATGAGACAAAGCATTTCTACATGAGACAAAGCATTTCTACATGAGACAAAGCATTCCTACATGAGACAAAGCATTCCTACATGAGACAAACCTACATGAGACAAAGCATTCCTACCTGAGATAAATCATTCCCACCCGAGATAAAGTATTCCTACTTGAGACAAAGCATTCCTACATGAGACAAAGCATTCCTACCTGAGATAAATCATTCCCACCCGAGATAAAGTATTCCTACTTGAGACAAAGTATTCCTACTTGAGACAAAGCATTCAGTTCCAAGGCTCAATTCAAGTCTAAAATCCATCTAAAATGATACACTGAAAACTATCGATATTTATCGCAATAGTTCTTTGCAATATCAATAGTTATCACAATAGTTTCTTTCAATATCAATAGTTATCGCAATAGTGATTTTCAGACCGATAGTCACCCCGATAAACGTGTGTCCTAGAATGGTAAACCTTTTATTGAGAAAATATCCTACAACGTGAAAAACT